TTTAGATTGGATATAAGGAGGAAATTCTTTCCTGTTAGGGTGGTGAGGCACTGGAATGGGTTGCCCAGGGAAGTTTCCAGCTCCATCCCTGGCAGTGTTCAAGGCCAGGTTGGACAAGGCCTTGGGTGACATGATTTAGCGTAAGGTGTCCCCACCCATGTCAGGGGGGTTGGAACTTGATGATCTTAAGGTCCTTTCCAACCCTAATTATTCTATGATTCTATGATCTAGTTGAAGATGTTGCTGCTCATTGCAGGGGGTTTGGGCTAGATGATGTTTAAAGGTTCCTTCAACCTGAACTGTGTTATGATTGTGTGTCACAGGACTCTAGGGGGTAGAGTGGAAAGGCATAAAGGTATTCTTCTTGATAATGCCAGTCAGGTAGGATTGATGCCGGACGGGCCCTGGTTCTGCAGTTGATGTTGCAGTGTGGGCACTGTTTTTTATGAACCGTCTTGGTAGATGGACAAGATAACAGGCAGTGAAACTGCAGCAAGGGAAATTCTGACTAGATATTTTCACACACGTGAAAGAAAAATATACTATGAGGTTTCTCAAACATTGGAGCAGGCTGCATCCCATCATGAGAGAGATTTATAAGTGATCAAGGACATGATAAAGTTAGCCTGCTTTAAAGTGGGTGGCTTGGGATGGACCAGAGGATCTTCCAACCCAGTTATTCCAACTTAAATTATTGAATGATTCAGAGTCTTTATGACTCTTAAATTTCAAATAATTATGCAGAAGTGTAATGGAAGCTCATAGGTTGTGAATTCCTTATGTCCAGTCAGTGACTTCTGCATCTGAGGCTGCTGTCCTTTAAGAGAGCTTGATCTTGTTTGTGAAAACCTGACAAATTCCAGCTCACATTGCTGTAACTAAATAAGACTGCCTGCTTACAGGTTCACACCACTGTTAGCATTTTGGATTAGTTATATGACCATTAGCCTAATAGGAGCAGCCAGAGTAGGTGATTGAAGACATCTTGAAATAAATTAGATAAATCTATTTTCTAAAGTACCAAGAAGCTTTGTGCTTAAAGCTCAGAGGAAAACCATTTTTAAAATCCAACTGTAAAATCCCCCAAATACAATGAAATTTACTGTGCACTTTTACTGACCAAACTGTATTTTAGGAAAGGTTAGAAGATAAAGTTGTGAATCCTGTTGCCGCAAACCCATTATTCTTTATTTCTTAGGATGAGTCTGCTGTATTCTTACTTGATTTTTCTTCAGTTTAAGGAATCCATGCTAATTATTTTTAACTGAGCACTTAATGCCTGAGGTATTTTCAGGTGAAAGCATCAACTCTTGTCACTAAAAATCTACACTGTAGAACTTCAGTTCTGTTTCACAGAGTTGGTGCCTTTGTACATTTTTCTAATACAAAAGTTCTGTTCAAAATGGAAATATGTTTTATCAGTTCTTATAATAATGTTTCTGGTTCTCATAGTTGGTAAAAAACTTTTTTGTTTTTACAAGAGGCATAGGTCTGCAGATCCTCATTTAATAAAAGCTGGAAATACTCAGAAAGCCATATATCAGGTGTGCTTTAAAAACATTAAATCATAACTGCATTGCAGGAGATGTAGGAGTTGCTGCCAATTTCAGTAGACTTCTTTTCTTAGCCACCATTACTGTAGTTTAATTTTCAACTTCTGCAGATTCTTTTAGATCTTTTTAAATCCATGATAGAGTCAAATACTAACAATATTTTTAACTCTGTTTCTGTTTATTTTAACCACCAAAGAGAATATTTCACAGCTGGTAATGCTGCTATGTGTATCTGAATATCAAGGTCAGTTTATGCCTTGCTTTTCTGTGATGTTCTCTCTTCTCTTCTTTTTGTGGACATCAGAAATAATCAGTAATGGCCTGAGATTTAGTACAGTGACTGCTTGTGGTACAGCATCATAGATTTGCTGGGTTTATTTTGCAGTTGCTGGCTTTAATAATTAAGGGGAATATCACAATGAGGTTTAAAGGCTTCAAAACCCTCATTTGTCTCATATCCAGAAACATGACCAGCTTCTTAAAAATATTACTGCTGATAGAACTTACAATTCTCCATTATAGTACTTTTGGCCCTTGAGTCTAATTAATCACGTCTTAAATGCATGGGCTTAATTTGGTGAGCCAGAGTGATGTGAAATACGTAATTAGCCACTTCGTTGAAGTGTGCATATTGTGGTACAGTGCCTGATTTTCTGGTCAGTGAATGACAACCTTACGACTCTTTTTCATATCTAAACACTTCACATTATGATAGTTCTTGCATTTAAAGTTATTCTAGGTGTAAAGATCTAATTTGTGCTTAGCGTTTTAATAACTGCCTCTGCTTTATGGTTTTCTAAGAGACAAATGTTCATCTCTATAAACTTATAATCTATGGCTTATTTTAGTTACAAGTTAAACATGATTATACGTAGCATGGTATTCTTAAGGTCATGGAACGTGACATGGCTTTTGGTTTAGTTTAGTTTGTAAAAGCTGTAATTGTTGTCAATGGAGTATTCCATTTTACAACTGCAATTCTTTCCCTAGAACTGACATCAGTCATAGATTGAATGCTTCTAAATATTTACTTTTGCTTTGGAAATGTCTCACTTTAAAGTGGTAAACTGTGGGAAAATAAAACATTCCTTGTGTATTTCTCTTCTGGAAACATTTGCTTTAAACTTTGTCATTGCTCTGAGGCTTTTATTCATCTATCATGTAACAGCTTCAGGTATCATTGAGGAACTTCATTTTGACTTATGATGCAAGCCTTGAAAATTACAATAGCCTGTGAGTGGTCTGGCATGAGAATAAAAAATCAATAAGTTTTTGCATTTTTACATCCTACCTAATCTTGTTTGTCTGTATGAAAACATTATTTCATTACAGTCTAATGTGTCAAAACCACTCCTAAATAGTCAAGAGTTACCAGACTTCAGATGCATTACATACTGGGTATTCTAGGTTTTCAGCATACAAAAATTAGTATATGAGGTATTTTGAGTCTTATTTTCTAAGGACAGTGAACTGTTAGGCAGTGGGCAAGAGGGGATGTGATATTTACACTACTTTGTGTGGTTCCATAATTTACCATGTAGGTGATCTCCCTCATGAGTTTACAGATGTGATTCTCTTTCTACTGTGTATAAATAGTACATGTATAAATAATACACTCATGCATAATGTTGCTTAAAGTGTTTGTTTAAAATAGAAGTTTAATTAGAAGTTATTTTTTTTCCATATTTTCTTCTAATTTGTTTTTTACATTACAGGAGACAAATACATAGGAAATATGGATTGAATCCTTTTTAACTTCATGTGGTAATATCAAAAGTTCATTGTTCCTCCCAGCTGAGACTGAAAACATGGCTCATTTAATCTTTGTAAGACTTGGCTCTAAAATTAAAATTCAGAGGAAACAGGATCCGACTATGAGTCAGTATGCAGAACAGTGAAGGATAGGGGCCATGAAGAAACATTCTTTTTCTTTCAGCCCAAGGTCTTTATCATTATTGAGAATCAATGTCATATTGCATAATAGTAGGATGTGAGTGCCAGACCATGATCTGTTTTGATCAGGATTAAAATGCTGATGTTATTTCCTTGATTTAGTTCTAATTTCTGCTGTATTTTCTATAAATGCGTTTAAGCTAAGAGACTTCCTTGCAAATATTTTCAGAGCACTTTGTGTTGTTATATCAAATGCAGTCACTCACTGTCACCTTTCTTATCCTTTTGGAAGTAATTATTGACTTGGGTATTTTGATGATGTTGAAATAATCTCCGAATTGTGTTCTGTAGAGTCTGACAAATTGTTTGGCATAGGAAATGGACTCAAGGGTCATCCACTCATGGGAAGCTGGTTTACACATGAATGCCAAATCCCAAATGACTTCAACAGCGATAAGCAGTACTAATGAAAATCATTTTCTTAGATGGGATATAATGCACATTTCTACCTCTCATTCCAATAATAAATTAAATTCACAATTTGAACCAAATGTTGTGGAGACAAATAATCTACCATATGCAGTATCTCAGTGTCATCTTTTTTTTTCAGCTCCGCATAATGCTTTTTTCACCGGTAATTACCTAATTGTCTTTCTAGCCTGCTAAGAAAATATTCCTTCATTTTGATGTCTTTAAATTGTGCTTTTGTTCAGTAGTTTACAGTATGTTGGTACTGTATAATGGGTGTTTATCATTCATACTATAGATAGCAAAATATCTAATTATGGTTATGCCACTGTGCTGAAAAGAATTGTTACAATCCAAGCCAAGTCTGAATTGCAGTTGCTGAAAGCAAGACTAGGAAGCAGTCTTGTACACCCCAACCAAGGAAGAAGCACTTCCCTTGCCTTTTGTTAAGCAAAAAAAAATGTGCTCACAGTGTTCAGCAATAGCTAACAGTGAAGAAAAATGCTCCTTAGCAACAGAAGTTCATGAAATAAAAGAGGGATTTAAATGCAGCTTAAAATTAGGGAAATAGAGTCTGTCAGATTTAAAAATGTGGAAATAGATTCTCTGTTACAGACAGGAGGAAGGCAAATATAAAAGCTCAGAAACATCTTCTAAGTCAAGATAGGGAAAGGAGTGCACTCTGGTACATAATTCCTTTCGCTACAAGCTGCCAGACGTATGTCCATGCTGTTAGGTCTTCTAGGAAGTGCATTGCTCTAAAGGGAATGGAATTGATGATATATTTTTTAAAAATGACCCAGCTCTAGGTCTGTGTCTGTAAAGTTCAGAAAATATTTTTTATTGAAATTTGGAGTGAAGGTTTTAGTATTGACTGCTTTTTTCACCCTCCTGTAAATACTGTTAATGGCCTGATCCCTCTTTGTCTTGCACGTAGTGCCTTTCTTTTGAATGTCATCCACAGAACACATTTAAAACAATCACAGCTTTGGAGGAAAAGGCCACCCTCTGTACAAGACACAGCTAAATGTCTAGAACTTTGGTAAAACAACAGGACTAATTTTTTTTTACTACTATTTTGTATAGGTTTGTAATCGGAAGGGAAAAACCAGGACAAGTGAGTGAGGTTGCGCAGCTGATCAGCCAAACTCTAGAACAAGAACGCCGCCAGAGAGAGCTGCTGGAGCAGCATTATGCACAGTATGATGCAGATGATGATGAGGTAACAGACTATTAACACTTCACTATTTCTTCTTTTTTTAATGTTTTATTTTCTGTTCCTAATTCCTTCTTTTTAATTGTCACTCAGAGGTCAGCTTCTGGCCCTCTCCATTACCTCTGCTGCTGATTTTTACAGATTTTGATGGTGAATCTTATTTGAAGAACAAAGTTACTGAGAAGTTTTCCACATGAACTTAAAATACTTGTTTTGTTACGGAAGAGCAAATAGCAAATTGGTCAGTGCTGCTGTAATCATTGCTCTTCCTCTCAAGGCATATGCTTTTCTGAAATAAGGGAATAAAGTTGGCTTCTGAAACAGTAGTTTTTGTGAAAGCTGGTAAAAGTCACTTCTAACTTTTAAAGGGTTGAGGAAGTTTTAGGCCTTTTTTTTTTTTCCTGGAAGAACTTATGTTCTTCTTAATTCAGAACATTAAGAAATACTCCAAGAAATCCAGGTAAGAGCCCTCCTTCCACACTCTTGCTTTTTACTTCTGGGTGAACAGATACTCCACAGGATAGATTGATGTTCACAATTAGTGTCTGATGTCCCAGTACAAAGGTTTTGAAACTATCAACTTTATACAGTAAATATTCTATTATTTCTTTCTGTTCTCTGAAAACTGCCAATATACCTAAATACCAAGATAGTTGAAAAGATTCATGAGAGAACTTTTTCAGAGACTACTGTCTGTGTTATACCCTCAATTATCTGCTGGGTTAAGGTAAAAGGCAGGTGTTGTAACAAACCCCTTCCACATAGACCAAACATACCACCTTCATTTTTCATTATCTTACATAATTTTATGCAAATTGCCAGACTCCATGTATTGGTGTGCTTTTGTCCTGGGGCAGACTTTGTGTTTTTTTTTATGGAAGGAGGCAATAGAGAAGGGATGATGATAGAGAATTTATGCTATGCATTTATTTCAGTTTCATTTTCCATTAGGTACTGAGACAAGGCTTCTAAGCAGTGAAATAGGAAAAGCGATACTCTGGGATAAAATCAGCATACACTCAGAGTTTGAACTAGCAATTGGTCAGAACAGGTGTCCCAGAAGACTAAGTAAAAGTCCTATCTAGCCCCAGTGGTGCTTTCACTTACTTTAATATTAATAATATTACTGATGCTAAAAATAAAAATATTATATGTTTTAAAATAAATCCTGTCATAGGTGCATATTTAATTCATATAAATAAAATCATACTTGTCTGTGTTAGGGATGCATATGTGTATGTACTGTGCAAAACCATGAAGGCCAGAAAATCCATATCCTCTCTGTTCCTTCCTTAAACCATACAAGCATGCAAGTCTTCTAGCTTCTGTTGAGTCTAGAATTAAAATTAAAAATCTTAACTAATTTCTTGAAGGAATTCTACCAAGAAGAGACAACCCCCTCTAGCCTTTGGGACAAGAGAATTCTCACAACTCATCACAGATTTGGATTTTTTTTCTTTTTGTCGCCTGCCATCCAAGTAAACTCACATAACTTGCACCATTCCCAGGCAATTGATATAATGGAAGCTATAATCTAATGCACATTAGATGCAGTTCAAAAACATTTTGGTCACCACAAGCACTTCTACTCCATTTACTGTCAAATAGGAGCATTACACTTTGTGCTCACCTTGCTCTGTGGGGGCAAACATGGCTGGGTTTGTGTTGCTGTACAACACACACCACTGCCAGCCCCGTGTTCTTTGACTCTGGTAGGCAGGGCATCTTTTGGGCAAGAAAATCTCAGTTTACAGTATCTGAATGAATATCCACAAATGTACAAAATCCCCTACTCTTTCAAGTCCATTTCCTCGAGGTGATAGTGATTCTGAGTGCATGAAATTCAGGAATATTTAGATTGCTGAGTGGCACAGAATTATACAGGAGTTGCTTAGTCTCAGAGCTATCAAACTGTCCTATTCATTTGCAGGCAGCTTTTAAAATATGGTAACATAGATTTCCAGCTACAGAGCTGCATAAATAAACAAGAAAATGATCTTTATTCAACCCTCCATTGAGGCTGTCGAGCCTCAGAGGCTTTACCACGAAGACAGCAATAGCATACCAGGTTTCCAGAGCAGGAAATCCGTGATCTGTTTTTGTGTCCTGCAGTCACTGCATCCGACTGTGTTTGGTAGAGCTGGTCAAATCACAGCCAGAGAGCATGTGCCAGGCATTTGCAAGTCCTGGTGTTTTATTTTGCTGTGCCACCAGCTGGCTGGATTACCTCTGTTTTGAAACTTAAGACAGTCTTCATCATAGCCCAAGCAGGATCTAGCTATTTGAGAAGGATCTGTGTTCTTTAAAATAGCAGCATTATTGAAACAATTTTGACTTCTGCGAGCCAGTGTGCTCTGGACTTGAGTCAGACACTAAGAAAAACTTGTTAGCCTGCTGTAACTCCTCATTCTATTTCCTTGCAGGAATGTTACATGACAGTTCTTTGTTGGGGAAATTTCATACTAATACAGATAGTGTTTCCAGAAAAATACATCATTTGCTACATAAGTGATCCCGAAAGAAACATTATTTACTATATAAATGCCCTGCATCCTTGCACTTCAGAGTCTGCTGTTAGCATGGGCTGCAGATTTTCACAGGGTTGCAGGATGCTTTCAGATGCTCTTTCATTTAAATCTTTGCAAACAAACAAAAGAACCTTGTATAGAACTGACAAACACTAAAGAGATGCCCACAGTGGGCAAAGACAAGCAGGGTAAATGTGCAATAGCTCACAATGTGCTCTTGAGCTCCCACAGAACACACAGAGCCCAGAGTATCACTTATTTCTCAAGTACTACTTAGGGTAGGCAGCGTTGGCATTTCCAGATGAGTTTGTGCTAACTACAGTAAAGCTGGACAGTATGTTGTTTCAGGTACTGCCCCTAGATAAGCTGCTGCAGAGTTTGCTCATCACCAGCTCCTGAAATCCCACATTTTTTTTAATTTATAGTATTCTGTCAGAAAACAAAAAGGCTTTGAAGTAGGTACTATCTTTGTATTTCCTACTTAGTGTATTAAGTGTGACCTAAATCTGTATCCTTGACAGAAACCTTTGACACCCCTGTGTTAACACAGTGTTCTGGGCACATTTTAGTCAAATTCTGCCATTCCTTGGAATTCTGATTTGAATGTGGTATTATCTTCTCCATGTTCTACAGTGAATGGAAGAAGCCACATAAAGCAGATGACCTGTTACCCTGCAGGCTGCACACTGTTGCAGGGTGTGAAATTAGTAATGTATCACAGAATTCTATTCACTCTGTGGCCACAGACAAGCAGTTTTATGCAAGTGACATTTTAATGTATTTTAATATCACTAATAGTAATTTGAATATTTTCTAACTCTTCATTGTTATTTATCAGGATATTCTTAGACCAAAGCAACATTAGAACCACTCAAGAAAATCTTGACACACACGTTGCAATTTGTTTGAACATCTAACCCCAAAGAATACATTTGTTAAACAAAATCTCTCAGAGAGTACTTTTCCAACATCATTAATATGAAGCACTCTTGTAAAAGTGATGGTTGATATAATTTTTACCACTATATTAAGTAAAAGCCATGAAAAAAATCGAATGAAGATGCAGGCTTGAGTTATTTCTATAGTTCTTGCAGTGGTGTTCCCTGATTTTGGAGAGTTTCAGCACAAACAAAGCATTTATCTTGATGCAGTCTTTGTTATGGTGATTTGGGGGAGGTCTGTCTGCATTATTCTGACTGGTGCTGGTGCTCATTCTTTCCGCTTGGGTGTGTTAGGCCCATTTCAAGAATTTACAAGGCAGCTAAACAATGTGAGTTACCCATTTTGCCTTTAAAGTGGGGAATTGCATTTTGTGCTAATAAAGATAATTTCATGCTATTAGCTGTAATAGCATATAGGAAAATTGAATGGCTAATAACAGAAGTTATTGCTGTGGGTTGGATGAGCTTAAGCCCTAGGTACTACTGAAAGGAGAAATAGATCTTTTGCATGGATGAATTTTGTTCACCAATACAGACTGAAGAGTCCGAGGTTTTCCTTCAGGAGCATGTAAGTTTTCACTGACTTTCGAGTAAAAAAAGTGTTACTGTTGTTGTCACCCGAGAAAGCAAAATGTATTGCAAGGAACCTCAGGCAGCTACAATAACAACTCACCTCACAAGGCTTTGTTGTTTTGAAACAAAATAACTCTTGTCTGTGCCTTGCTGCTCCTAGTAAAACACTGACCTTCCCATTCTAAGCTTACTGGTGCAGGGTGTGAGCAACCTTTTCGTAGTTTCTGGTGAAACAAAAGTCAGCAGAGAATTTTTTCAGGGAAAGCGTGTTTCATGTAGTTTATGACATATATTTCCTTAAAGCACAGACTGGTTCTTTTGAACCTGTAATTTGTCTTTCATGTGATTGCAAGATCAGATCGCTTTCTTTTGAAAACGAGAGCAAAAGTCCCATTTATTTCCGTGTTCTGTAATGTGTTTGTGTAATCCTGCTGTCTTGTTTACCTGAGCAAACTGCAGTGCTTTGCTTTGATGACTACTTTTTGCATTAATTGAAGCAAAAATGACTGTGCCCACGGACACACATTATGTACAATTTGAAGCAAGATTTTCCTTTGTGTTCATTTTTGGCTGCCTGATGACTGTCTTCAAACAGTTAGGCTCTGGAGGCCAGGAGAGTATTGCCGGCTCTTGAATTTTTCCCCAGTATAACCTATTCCTTCATATGTGTTTGGTTTTCTTTTTGTATGCTGTACTTTTCTTTAGTGTAAGTCTTTAGAGGGATCATAGAATCATAGAATAGTTAGGGTTGGAAAGGACCTTAGGATCATCAAGTTCCAACCCCCCCTGCCATGGGCAGGAACACCTCACACTAAACCATGTCACCCAAGGCTCTGTCCAGCCTGGCCTTGAACACTACCAGGGATGGAGCATTCGCAACTTCCCTGGGCATCCCATTCCAGTGCCTCACCACCCTAACAGTAAAGAACTTCCTGCTTATATCCAATCTAAACTTCCCCTGTTTAAGTTTTAACCTGTTACCCCTTGTCCTATCACTACAGTCTCTAATGAATAGTCCCTCCCCAGCACCCCTATAGCCCCCCCTTCAGATACTGGAAGGCTGCTATGAGGTCTCCATGCAGCCTTCTCTTCTCCAGGCTGAACAGCCCCAACTTCCTCAGCCTGTCTTCATACAGGAGGTGCTCCAGTCCCTGATCATCCTCGTGGCCCTCCTCTGGACTTGTTCCAACAGTTCCATGTCCTTTTTATGTTGAGGACACCAGAATTGCGCGCAATACTCCAAGTGAGATATCATGAGAGCAGAGTAGAGGGGCAGGATCACCTCCTTTGACCTGCTGGTCACGCTCCTTTTGATGCAGCCCAGGATACGGTTGGCTTTCTGGGCTGTGAGTGCACACTGAAGCCACCTTATGCTCATTTTCTCATTGACCAACACCCCCAAGTCCTTCTCTTTAGGGCTGCTCTGAATCTCTTCCCTGCCCAACCTGTAGCTGTGCCTGGGATTGCTCCGACCCAGGTGTAGAACCTTGCACTTGGCATGGTTAAACTTCATGAGGCTGGCATCAACCCACCTCACAAGCATGTCAAGGTCCCTCTGGATGGCATTCCTTCCCTCCAGTGTATCAACCGAACCACACAGCTTGGTGTCATCGGCAAACTTGCTGAAGGCGCACTCAATCCCACTGTCCGTGTCACTGACAAAGATGTTGAACAGTTTTAACTAAATTCATCTGATTTATTTTTTACCAAAAGTGGAAAATCTAATTAGAATTTTTAATTATATTAATTTATTCTTTTTAAATGCACATGTAGCTGATCTTGTTTTTTTACATAAGCCGGGTATAAGTTTGCTAGTTAATGACCCTATTTTGCCTCCTTTCGCATACTTCAGAGATTTCCTTGCCACTGCTGATGGACCTGCCAAGATGATTTTTTTCATGTAGAAATGATAGTTGTGTACCACCTAAATAGGTTGTTTTTTTTCAGAGAAGTGACTGTAAAATTGGCAGTACATGGATTGGGCTAGTATTTTGTCCCCACAATAATTCATTTCATTGAAATCTCACTGGGATTTTTGAGTTAGTTGTTCCGCTTTTCACCGCCCTGATGGTGTGTGAAGACAGTGATACGTGCTCCTGGAAAAAGCCAGGAGAGTTAGCAGCCTAATTTTCCATTTAGACAGTAACTGCACATAGCCATGGGAAATAAAATAGGAACAGAAGTTACTACAAGTGTAACATAACAGAAGAAATTTGTGTGTGTGAGATCTACACATACCGAATGATCAATTTAATTTCAGTGTTTAGTTGTACGCTAACATGCCTGAAAACTCCAGTGAGATGGATTGTGTGTTCTTTTGCTTCTGTTTCAAATAAGGAAAGAAGAAGCAAAATCAGCTGTTAACTTTTTTTTTTTTTTTGCTGAAGGCTACTCAGGCTCTTAGTTTTGGTAGATGTGAAGTATGTAAAATAAATTGTAACTGTATATGTCATTGGAGAATATAGAATAGAGATAGAGATAGCTGTCCTAAGAAGTGGCTCACCTTAACAGTGATGTTTATATATGGAAGTTGTGCATGTTGGTGACTTCCTTCTTTTTGATGGTTCTTTTAACATCAGAAGATTTTACTAACTCATTCTGTGCTTTCTGTGCGGTTTGCCTTTCTTTGCTTTTTAAAACTTTAGTGAGGAGAATATAGATTTTTCATGATCTCTAAAGGTCCCTTCCAACCCAAACTGTTTATGATTTATATGCTATTTGTCCAAGAAATGGTGCTGGTTTATTGCAAGTATACCATCCTATTGGGTGCATACATATAACTTCTCTATGTCTACTTGTGCACCTGGGCTTACATGCTTCCATGCACTGCTTTTTAGTTGGGGGAGATTCACATAAGTCTAAACAACAGCTGGGAAACTAAATTAAGGTAGGAAGTTGAGATTCAAACTGTTGTTCGGACATTTGAGTTCTTAAATGTTGTTTTTAAAAGTTCTTTTGACAAAAAATGACACTAATAGATAATCCTGGTGCTATTGGGAATATACTTCTGATAACGATATTACGTGTCATCTTGGGAACTGAAACAAAAACTTGAGTAGCTTTGTCAAATTTTGGTGTTATTACTGTCTAAACATGAGAAGGACTGCACCCCTTCCCCCGCCCTTCCTTTTCCATGTATTTATTGAGTCCCAAGCTTTATAAATCCAGATGTGGCCCTGAGGGAAGTGTTTGCTTTATACTATTTTTGCACAGCCAGCAGGCTGTTTGTGATCTGTACATGATGTACTCTGGCTTCCAGAGGGAGCCCTGCTGAAGTGAAGTGGTACCCAGCCACGTTCGGCATGGGCAGAGATGAGCACAGGTGTCTGTGCAAATGATTGTCTAGGCAACTTGGGGATTAATATTGCAGGCTTTTTCTTTTCAATATTATCTTTTTATTTTATCTTGAGATACTGATTTTAAATTATGATTTTTTAAAATCCTGTTTTGTCAACAAATTGTTCACATCTCATGGTTTAAGAGCCCAAGAAACACCTGCATTTGCTGTTTAAAACTAGCTAGAAGCAGCTCCTTATTCAGCTTAAAAATTCAGTAAAAACTGACATCAGTCTCTGAACTTGTCTCTGGCACTCGAGTTTTCTTTTTCCTGCTGTTGTCTGTGAGAATGTGACTTTTCTATTGTTGATTTGTTTATAAAGAACAAACCAGTTGATTTTCAAATTCACCATGGGATATCACTGAAGAGTTACTTCCTCCAAACTGCAAAAGACTAATCAAGATCCTGTCAGTCCTGCTCTGCTTTTATTTCTGTTTGGAAGAGATTCATTGCTAACTCTGAGATGAATTTGGAGAGGTCTTCCTATGGAAAACAGGCCTCACTTGTAAAAGGGTGAAAACCATTGAATACAGAGACAGTCATGCTTAAGACCCTGTCTTCTCTCTCTTACTATTCTGAAATAGCTACTGTGGAGTTGTATTTTGTCTGGTAGAATTCATAAGCACTGGGATTATAGCCAGAGAAATAGATAACCTTTTTTGTATGCAGTGTACTGTGTTTGCACAGTAGCTTAATTACTTTTTGAACAGTCTCTGCCTAATAAGAGGATAACTGGAATTTCTTAAATGCTATAAAATTAAGACAGGGGAATATGCCACAGATGAAGAAGATGACGACATGGGACCTGTCCTTCCAGGAGGTGACATGGCTATTGAAGTGTTCGATCTCCCTGAAAATGATGACATGTTCTCCCCGAGTGACGTGGACACCAGCAAGCTTGCTCACAAATTCAAAGAGGTAAGCTATAGACCAGAAAATATTCCTGAAATATCTCACTGGAATTAGATTTCTAGTTATCCCATTGCTCAGTGCTTGTCTTTTCTCTTGAAAATGAGAGTTGATTTCTAGCTGTTCGTATATTCAGTACTTTTGAATGACTTCAAAAGTTCTGCTTAAAAGAAATGGAACTGTTCAGATTTTTTTAGCATCAGATTTCAGGTGACTACTGTGTTGATGGAGGGTAATTGATAATTAGTTTTCGGTAGAGAAGTTAGTCTGCCTTCAGCACTTAGTTTGCATTTTGTGACCAGGAAGACAGAGTACAAGTTAATTCACTGTTCACAGACTGCTGCTTTTGGGGTGTTTTTTTTTGTTATTCATTTGGGGTTTTTTTGTTTGTTTTTTTCTTTTTTCTTGTTTTGTAAGATTCCAGTCAAAAGTGATCAGGAAAACCAAAGATCAAATCTAAATTTCAGTGAAAAGGGACATGTGGAGCTCATCCTGTACCATTACGTAGCGACTTGTCAGTGTACAACAGCATCATATGTTTGGCCATGTGTTTAGAAAGATGCTGTATTGGGGAAGCTGGCATATTTCAAGCTGGTGTTGTATTAAATTCTGCGCTTACAGAGTTTGTATAGCATCCACTGGTACTGTCTGGAGCTTGAGTCACTGGTGTTCATTGCAGTCGTTGAATTCATATAACTTAACATGACAAAGTACTGAGAAATATTTCTTCCATATTTTAGGTTGTGCTTTTGATGTGCTTTATTTGTGAGCTTTCCTGAATTCTGATGCAAATAAAGACATGAAACAGTTGGCTTTTTCTAAGCCCACAGTGATGGGCTGGGTAATGACAACAAAGAACATTTTAAATACAGGAATATGGAAAGTATCCAGAACCTAATAGGAGATTTGAGCAGCAGAACCTTTGCCCATTTTATCCTTCTTCCCCTGTCCTCCCCCCTTCCCTCCATTCAAACCAGATATTTTATCTTCTGTAAGTATATCTTACTCTCTAGTGGGAGTAATGTATGAAAAGGAATCAGTCAATGAGCAACCAGTCTTAACCCTTTTGTGCAGATACCTTTTGCAGCCTTTGGATGCGTACTGTTATTCATTGTTGTTTCCTGAAAGTTTTTTATTTTACCAATAATTTTCTCGCTCTGTATTTCAAGTTCCAGGCTCTTAAGCAAATTAGCAGAACAGTTAACTTCATTTTCTAATACTGTGCATCATACATAGTGATACTTTCTCAAACACTACCATTCTGATTATGCCAGTGTACCAGGGCTGTGCAAACCATAGATACAGTGATGGGCAGAACCCTCACCTTTGACTAGATTACCTGTCAAACTATGCCTGAATAGAGTTTCCATCACCTTGGGCTGTTGCCATATTTCAGCATGTCCAAACTGTCTTGAAGCTCTTTTGCTGACCTGTCTTATGTAATGGCCTAAAACCACTGGTGTAGAGATCAGGTGGAGGGACTTTGGGTCCTCCAAGTCAAGTGCAGACAAGAGCCTGAGAACATAAAACGCTGCTGCAGAAGAGCAGACTTCTTCAGTAACCCACACAGTTACTGATGTTAGGAATATGCCACTTTTGTTTCAATAACTGTATTTAACAGTACACAGCTGCATTTTGTTGACTGCTACAGAGTGAGAGTGTGTATTTTTCCTGGTATTTGCCCCGAATTCTTTCAACACTAGAGGACTTGTTCATGATCACGCTGCAAAAGCCCACACAGTGTTTTCTGGAATTGTATTTAAAGAATAACTGTTCTTTCGTGTTCTTACTCCAGAGATTAAGGAAAGTATTAAACAAGTGGGTTGGACGTAATCTTTACGCATAATAGTTTGACCTAATTAGTTGAATTCAGTCTTTGCAATGAAAAACGTGCTCACATGCTCTGAGAGCTCGCTTGTTTGAAATGCCTTGGTTCTGGAATGAAAGTCAAAAGAGAGATGGGCTTTTCTGGGTGTCATGGTTTAAGCAGCCCAGGACATGGGTGAATTGCAGTACTTCTGCAAGTCTTGTTTTCCTGGCTTTAAAACCAGAAAATGGGCCTAATTTTTTCCCTAACTGCTTTGAGAGAGAGAGCTAGAAGCTTTATTTTAGCTGTGATGTTTGAAGAGAGACAAGATCTGTGGGGAGAAGGGACATCATATATAAGAATTAAGTGTACATTTCATATTGTAATGAAATATATGAAAAATGGATTATTATGCAAAAATATGTAATGAATACATTAAAATTGCCATGGAGATTATTAAATTCCATTGAGTACTTTTTTCCCCAGTGTACTCTGGATATATTAACATTTGCTAGCTTTACTTTCCATCCTGCCTTTTGGTATTAGGTGAATTCAGTTAATTTTCTCTATTTTTATATGATTTTCTCAATTTTTTATAAAACGTTTTATAGTGTTGAAAAAAATTAGTCAGCTTTTCAATATATATTTCAGAAGGAAATGTGCCAAAAATGAGTCAAAATGTCTTCGTTAAAATGAAGCTTCATTCACTTTGATTTCAGCTTCATTGACTAAACCCCATAACAATGCAAAAGAGTAACTGCCAAGAATTTGTCGTGTGGGACATGGAGTAAGGTATTTCTGCACCCCTATTAGTAAACTTGATTGAAAATTTTTAATTATAGTGCCCAGATTTGATTGCCAAACAGTTGACCTTGCCTGTTGTTCAGTCTAACCAATAAATGTGTTAGTATTATGCAAGCATAAATAGTTCTTTAAAAAAGGAAAAGAAGAAAGTAGATGACCAGCTACACGTTTGTCTGTTCAGCGGGGAAGTGTCTTTTTTCTTCTGCCTCAGTGGGATCTGCTCTGCTGTGCACTGATTCAATGATCTGACTGGGTGCTCAGTATTCATTTTTTAACTTAATAACAGAGTATAAAAATAACTGTTAAAACCATCTGTACCTGAGCAGATTGTCATTTATGCAACAATTTGGAGATTATTTGTATGTAATAATAAGCTGTTTAAGTGCTGCTTATGGGTGTGTGGGCTTTTAGAAGAGATGGGAATGGATTGTAAGCAGATAGCCTGAGGCTCTGAGTCTTGGCTTTTTGATTTCATTATTAACTCTGCAAAGGGCAAAGTCTAGCTCATCCATCCTTTCTCTGATTTCATCTCACTCCAGTACAATGAGGTAGCAGAATTAAGGCCTGGGCACTTTATACACACCATACATTTTGAGGTGATTCTTTTGTAATTTTTCACTGCCAACAGAAATGGAATGTTAGGAGAAAATAGTCCTCAGCTCTGAAAATTGTCGATCAGAGGTTGGAATGAGGGAGCTCAAAAATTGCAAGTAACCTCTTGCAAATGTTCATCGAAGTATCTCCTTAGTTTCCTCTACTGTGTTTAGTTAGTTACAGAAATGTATATATCCTTCTTAGCTTCCTGGTCTACTGGGTGGAGTAGCACCACCACCCACTTCTTGCCATTAACACCACTCAATGACTGGCTTCATTTGAAAAGAAATCTTGTATCTACCCTCACTGAGCATGTGAAGATTGATAGAAATCTTCAATGCAAAGTCAAAAAATGAGTGTAAGTAGCAGATGATCCTGGGGACTAGAAGTTATTATAGTCTCCTCTGGAGACAGTGTTCCTAAACTGTTCCTGAGGTGGAACTGGTTGTATCAGTGTCTCCTTAATTCCTTCCAGCATAAATTCAGTAATTCTCCACAAGAAAGGACTAGTTTTATTCACTAGCTCAGGTAAGACTGACTTGCAAACCCGACTGCATCTGAGAATGGGCATTTCACATGCCACAAGAAGTGCATGCAAGAGGCTCCATGAAAAGGGAATTCCAAAAGCAGCTTTGCTTTTCTCAAAGATTCTTTTATTGATCAGTTCTGTGATGGCTTCTGCCATTTTGAAAATTACTTTTCTCCTGCAGAAGAACTTCTCTTTTGAATTATTTTTACGTTTTTTCACTAACAGCCTGGTTTTCAAGAACGTGACCATTGCTTCACCACAGATGATAACTTCTGGTTCAGTACAGCTGCCTCACGTACTCCATTAGCTCAATATACACTATTCCCAAAGGCTCCCATTAGTCTTGTAAAAGAAGTAACCCCCATGTAAAGCATGTGTTTGCATAGCTATTCCTGGTATTCATAAATAATGGACAAAGACTTTGTCACTGACAGCTAAGGCTGTAATTCAGGTTTTGCCCTTGCCGTCAACTCCTTACCCAACAACACCCAAAGTCACTGATTCAGATTAAACAGTGTATTAGATAATGGTTTTGAGGCCTGTCAGAAGTTTGTCCATGCTGCCTGCTTTAAAAAATAGAGCAGCAGGGATTTGGGTGCAGAGCAGGATTGGGTGCGTGTGCATCTTCATTTCCACTTGTATTAGGGTTATGCTGTGGTCTGATTTGTTCTTCAGAGTGTTCTTGAAGCCTGCGAATGCAGACCTTTGGGGTAAAACTAAAGATTTCGGCTTTTCCTAATACGTACAAAGAGCTAAGGAGTATTCGCTCCACAGGATCAGGCTAATGTAGGTTAGTCCAAAAGAAATTCCCCTGGAAAGTGTGCAGGTGGATGCAAAGTCCTCAACACTGACCCTTTCACTGTACAGATCCACTGCTGTTGTGGCACGCTGCTTTATAATGTAACTACAACCTTTAGTGCCCTGCCTGGTCTGTTAATCTACTTGCAATCATTTTGTGTGCTTGAATACTGTTTGCTGGTTTTTACGGTTTCCCCATGTAACCGCTCTCAATTGAGATTAGCTAGCTTGAGCAGATAATTCCAACTAATGGTGGAGAAGGATAGCATCAGTTTATCATTTTTCTTGCATGAAATAAATGTGTGGAATTTTCCCTCAAGGTTTTCCTGACTTCCTGAGTTGTTAAATCGCTTATTTCCATATTTGCTTTTTTGTACTGTGCCTGCTTTTATCAATGCGATGGGACTTCCTGGCAGCACTGGGACGTATTTCACATTCACATCAGAGGAGAGCAAAGCCCAGCAGGATAACATCTTTTTCCTTTTTTTTTTATAAGCAGAAGACATTTGGTTTTTCTAAACAGATTGGATGTTCTGATTTGAAATTATGAGTGGTTAGACGGCATCCTAACTTTAATTAGGTTGCACAGACTGAGTCATTTTGCAAGCTAGACATTTTAATTTACAATCTACTGCAGTGCAGCACTCTTCAAGGCCTTCTGCTATGTAAAAGGTATTCAACTTGCAGCACAGGCTTTAAAAATATTGGAGTACTGTCTGTGACTTGTTTATTTTATATTTTCAATTTTAGTTGCAAATCAAACATGCAGTTACAGAAGCTGAAATTCAGAAGCTGAAGACAAAGGTAAGAATCAATATATGGTTCATACATGCTTTTTTTTTCCTCTTGTGCAAAATCAGATCTGAACATGTGTATCTTTATGTGGATGGAGAAGTCAACATTTTTATTAAAGGCTGCTTAAGAAGCACAGGAGCTCAGCTAAACCTTGTCTCAGTGTATATTCTTTATTCCAAGTTTCAACTAAAATCTTAAGTGCTGCTATTCAGAGAAACTGCCAACTTGTGTAGCTTCGATTAAACGTACGTTTTAAGGGGTATCATAATGACTAAATGGCAGATTTATAATTTTACAATTCTAATGCATTTTCTCAGGTTTTTAAATTATATTTGGATTGAATATTCAAGTCTAAGTTAGTAGGTTATTTATTTACCAGCGATGTTAAAGTTTCCTGTTTATGGTAGTTTCCTTTTTTTGACATTTGAAAAAACTCTCTAAATTATTTAAAGGTATTTAATAGAAATTGCTTTTTATGCACAGAACGAAAAGGTGCTGTTTCATATTGTTGCAGTATTCTTTAAAAGATACTCTAGAAAGGAAAAACCTTCCCAATTTAACAGAAAACATTATCTCACAATCGGTTGCTAGTTGTTAGATTGAATTTGCTATAGCAATAAAAAGGAATAGTATTTTCTGTACTAGGATAACCTTTATGAGAAGTCAACTGATAATTCAGTTGTTGAGTAATATTAGGTTTTATAATGACATCTTTCTCTTATTATAAAGGAAATAAAAAGAAGAGAAAATTGTACTTCAGAAAAAGATTTTAGATTGTTACTAGCAACATTTGCACCCACCATGTATTTGCATAGTGTTTGTCAAATCTGTATAAATTATCATTAAAAACAAATTCAAAGTGCAACTATTTTCTGTAAGGACAATTTCTGTTGTATTGTTCCAGTTCAGAAAGTCAGAAATCTTTCTTTCCAGTTCCTGTCTAGGAATCAGAGCCACACGGTGAATCCTTTGGGATTGTGCCGAGCCCCACTGACTTGATGGCAATGATGTGTGGGTGTAAACATTCATCTGTGCAAATCCATTTGCAAGACTCGGGTTATTGTACCTTTTTATGTTGGACTTCTTTCCCTAGTGTTTTCAGTAGAGCTGAAGAAGATGTGGCTAGTTTAGGTATATTACTGATAAAACTGCAAAACAAGTTATTTTCTTTGTGTGCATATCATTCATGATGCTAGCAGAACTGCCAAGAGCAAATTAAACAGTCTTGATCAGTAAACAGTGATGTTAAGTCATTTTTTCTTTTCTAGACATTCTGGAGCTAAAATATAGAAGCTGCTGAACAACCCTACCTTTATCCAGTACCAAACATTGAAACCCATAGCTAGCTTCATTTGGGAAGTGAGAAGCCTAACATGAAAAAATGTAACAAAACGATCTAGTGAAGGAGACAATATTTATTATAAACTCAGCAGTAAAATTCAGACTTCTCTGAGGTCACTTGGAAGAGGTCATAAGGCTCCATTGGTTCCAAAGAGTGGAACTATCAGTGGAACTGCGCTGGTCATAGAGTTACGCAGGGCTGTGTTTGGCAGAATTAGCACCTGAAATCTTCAACAGCAAGGACATGTTTTCCCCTTTCACATTGGCTCCTTACAACTCATTAAGCAAGTTTAAAGAAAACAAGAGTAATATATTTGTAACAGATTCTCTTTGTCCTCGTAATAGTTCTGGCATAGTTTCAGTACTGGATGCAAAACTCTCGCTCGCTTAAGTGAAAAAAGACTCTAAGTTGTGACCCGATGTTAAATTCTGAATTATGCTCCATCTTTTATCAGGCTTTCTAGATTAAACAAGATTATGACAGGAAAGCAGACATTGTAAGAATTCAGTAGGATTTCTAACTTGGGTAAAAAAGCAGATAGATTAGTTGCAATTGGCTTTCTCTCCTGTTGCTTTCTAAATTGTTCTTAAATCAAATACAGAACCTTGAAATCAGATTCTCCCCAAAATAAAAATTTCATCATTTTATTTAAGTGTGTGAATGCTTTGTAACACCTGAGCCACATGCTCAGAGCAGAATGCATCCCCAGTGCTTACTGATTAATGCCACAATTTGCCTGAATACTCCACTATTGACATTTTGAAGTGTGTTAGTATAATGCAGAGAAGCATAAGGGCTGCACTGGAACACAGAGCAAAGGTTCTATTTCCTTCCTATATATGTATCAGCCTCTTTTCTTCTCTTTCCACTACTAGCATATTACTATTATAGTTATTAATTCACAGATTTTCACCGTTTGTGTTGTTTGAATTAATGCTGAACTATTAGGCTCTGCTTTGCAGCTTTTTACTGACTGCATCTCCACTCTTTTGTTCAGCTGCAGACTGCTGAGAATGAGAAGGTGAGGTGGGAATTGGAGAAGACCCAGCTCCAGCAGAACATTGAGGAGAATAAGGAAAGGATGATGAAATTAGAGAGTTACTGGATTGAGGCACAAACCCTGTGTCACACGGTGAATGAGCACCTAAAGGAGACGCAAAGCCAGTATCAGGCTCTGGAGAAGAAATATAACAAGGCAAAGAAATTAATCAAGGATTTTCAGCAAAAGTAAGCAGTCTACACCAGGGTCAGCAAATGACTTAGTGGTCAGATAAGAAACATATATGTGATGTATTTTGAAATATGAAACTCACTATTAAACACCTGAAAGGTAAACACTATTTTTTCACCTTTTCTTAATGAAAAACATAAGCTCTTTATTATGGCAGAATGTTAGTAGTGCTCAAGTATTAATTTAGTATTACTGACAAAAAATACTATAACTAAAGACTTAGTCTGTAGTATTCCAGCTTGGAAAGTTACTAAATAACTCAATGATGTGATAGCAAGCGACAAAGAGTAATCATAATAAAGCATTTGATTGTCAAGGTTGCAGCAATTTATACTGGTATTGTGTCAGCTGGATTCACTCCTGCTATGTTCTCATGTAACATCAGGAAGAAAATTGTTCTGTTACATTTTACGTTTTATTTTTCTTCTCATAGATGCCAAGAATATTTGAGCTGAGTTGAGCTAACTGATGATTACCTGGCCCCTCTGTTTCATATGGTCCCCTCTCCCTGTTGGCTAGCAAGAGCAATAACATCTTATATTTCTATAACAGCTTACATTCCCCGCAGTTGTTGTTTTTTGGTGGTTTTTTTTTTGCAGGAGCGTTTCCATTTTCTGCTGAAATGTGCTCATTTAAAGAAGAAAACTCAAAACCATACAGCACTGTCAAGTGACAACTGGGAGTGCAGACTGGAATATACTGTCCCATTAAAAAGGGGTTTAAATAGTTAAAATGTCATCACACAGCTTGGAATTTTGTGACTGTTGCAGAACCATCTGGCATATTGTGTGCTTTCTGTCACAAACATCTTAGATTTTCAAAATAAAAAGAAATATGGAAAACAGCAAGAATGAGCTTGGATAGCCTTTCTGTTGTTATTCTGCTTTATATTAGTAAAAGGTCTAGTCAGTTGTTTTTAACTTTCTCAGACTCCTAAAATCCCCTACAGATCTCCTTAGAGCTTACTAAAAAACTAGATTTGTACCTGGAAACTTATGGATGTCCTTTCTGTGAAGAAACGCAGTCATACCCTAACAAAACAGGTTTTCTCCATTTCCTACAACAGAAAACAGCACAAACCTAGCTAGCAGTTTTCATTTGTAAATACAGATTATGAAAATAAGTTTGGTTTTTAACTGTTTTGATTATCAATTAGAACAACTGAGGTTTTTCTCCCCACAGAATTCCTCTTACCATTTTAATATCTTCACCTAGTGTATTCACTTCAACTAAGTAATTGTCCAGTTTTTTCCTAATAGCAGTTTCATACTCATTACTAGGTTAGTAATAAATTATTTGTTAAGGACAGATTTTTCTGATGCATAGCATAAGATACATCAGATCATTTTGTTTTCTGTTTGAATCTGATTGCTTTGATGACAGCAAATGTATCTTTTTTTTTTTCCCCCAAGAGAACTTGACTTCATCAAACGCCAGGAAGCTGAACGAAAGAAAATAGAAGATTTGGAGAAAGCACATCTTGCAGAGGTTCAAGGCTTACAAGCTCGTGTGAGTAGTATTTACTCTCATGTTTGAACAATGAGACAATTCTGTCTGATATTCCTGGGTCGTGCTGGAACCATCTCTAATGGATATGTGTGTGTGTGTGTTATGGGTAACATTGTGTTGTATTTCTTTCAGATACGAGACTTGGAATCAGAAGTTTTCAGGCTAATGAAGCAAAATGGGAGCCAGGTTAACAATAACAACAACATTTTTGAAAGGCAGACATCTTTTGGAGAAGTTTCTAGAGGAGATCCGGTGGAAAATCTGGATACTAAGCAAGTGTGCCTGGATGGCTTAAGTCAAGGTTTGTTTGAACCAAGCTGTAACTCTTATTAATACATATGTAAATAGCATGGTTACCATTTAGGATTTAGAAGAAACAAAAACGCAGGGATTTTTTCCAAAATTCATTATCTAGTGACATCTATAGCAGGATTATACCAAATCATGCCAATATAGTGTCCCAGAATAGCTGTACATTGCATATTCTTACAGAAATGGAAATGACTAAGTGCTAATAAAGCAAAGAGCATTATTTATTCCTTAAGGCTTCCAGTGGGATGCCATCAACATTTAGGTTTAGTTTGACACTTCCGTTATGTTAATAAAGTAGGAGAAAACTGGTTTTCTCCTGTGTTCCTGAATCTGACCTTAATTACTTAACCACCAAAGATCTCAAAAGAGCAAAGTTACCAGAATGAGAAAAACAATGTTGAATCCACCATTTTGAGCAGATCTCTGCAGGTTCTGATCTCACCTTGGTACAAACATCAGAAGAAACCATGTGGGTGGCACTCATCATTTCTCAGGATGGAGCCTTCTGTGAATAAAATGAAAATTATTTGGTAGTGCATAAACTATTAAATAATCTGAATAAGATTTAAAAGTCTTATTCAGCTATAGCACAGCCTGATTTACATATTAAGACTTGTAAGACTTCATTCTACATTACCAAAGAGCCAAAGCAGTTTGTTGCAGCAGTGAGATCTGGAGAGATGCTGTCAGTAGAGTGACTGTAATCTTTACTTGTATTGCATAGGAAAGATCGTTCCCGTGTTTCAGGCTGTGCCTGAAAATTGTGAGTAGCTCCTCACTTTGAAAGTATTTGCAGAATTGAAGCCAATTTTAGGTCCACAGCTATGAAATAAAATTGTTTGGAACAAGAGCAGTACTTACTGTCTGTTTAGTATCATCTCTGGAATCAGGTATCGGAGGTGTTGGGATTCTGACAAGGAACCACCAGACTCTATTCCTATACAGGTTTAATTTTAAATAAACAATAATATTACTTATTTCTCTGGTTAAAATAAAAAAGGCATTACATTAACAACAAAATTAATTTCTATCAAGCACAGAGGTGTTTTAATAAAATTGATGTTTTAGCAGTTATTTCATGTGTGGACCCAAACAATATCGCTCTGCAAACAAATGGATATGAATTACATTTTCAACAAAATATGTGTAAAAAAAAGAACTAGTCCTGCTGAAACAGTATTTAGGTGATCTGCAGACCTTGAGTTGATTTCCAAGAGCTCTTTCTTTCTAGCGAGTCTTTATTACACTAAAACCTCCTGAGTGGTCAGGATGACAAGAAAGTCTTTATTTCTGCCACAGAGAAACTCAGTAATTGTTACAAAATATTTAATATTCGGCAATGCTATTAACAAAAACTCTTTCATTAATTTGCATCAGGAGAGGAAAGTGTGTTTTCTTTACCTGACTCACAAAACCCATGTTTACACTTACCGTTGTAACAATGTCAACATACATCTATGGCTCAAGAGCTGAAAACCAGGAATTTCTACATGTAAAAAAAATAGAAATAATAATAAATTGTAACATTATTTCTCAAACTTTGGAAATTCTTTGTACAGCATTACATCTCTGCATGCTCCTACTTTCAAATTATATTTTTTAATTAATATATTTGCCTGAAAACTCTCATTTTCCAAGAGCTGCCATTTTTCATTGCAAAAATGTTCCCCTGGAGAAATGTTACCGGTGTTCAGTACTTCTGAGAGTTAGAGTAGATGATCTGTGAATTTAAATGCCCAAGTTTAACCACCTGAATACAAACACAAATCATTTGCTAGGAAAATAAACAATCAGCAGTGATTTTTTGAATGCAGAAAAAGCATAATTAGACCTTAGATTCCAGGCTGGATTTGTATTTTTAACATGAGAAAAAAGTAAGTTTTTAAAACAAAGAGATCCCTAAATATGCTGTAGCAGTATTTGACTTCCATATACCTTTCCCAGTAAATTCTCTGTCAGAGTCTCTGAAGTCTGTATCAGGCTGTAATGCAGTGTTTTGCAGACAAAGAGCCTGTGTCTCCATATCACCTTTGTGTGAGCCTTTTAAGAAGACAACTTACCATTGTCTTATAATACCAATGACTAACAGTTCGTGTGTTTACTGATCAACCCATGGATGTTTGCAGAGGTGCTATAAAGGGCAGGGGAGATGTCCATGATGTCTTTGGAGGGTGAGCAGAGTTCCTCGAGGTGCAATGTGTTGTGCACTCTGTGACATCCGCACAAGTGCTCCAGTCTCTTTACTGGCTTTTGTCTATCGAGTGTAACACACACTGCTTTATCAGGCCTTGGAATTAGGATTGTGGGGAGGGACTGCATGTACACAGCCCCATGCCCTAATTTTTGTTCTGAAGTTTGCATGTCTGTCTTCCCTCAAAAAAATCAGGTTATATAATAAACATGTATTTTAATTAAAATGATACCAGGTATGCTTTTTACTTCGGTGTGATCTGAGGTGTTTATTACATTCTTGCATGGTAATAAATTTTGGGAAGAAATAAAGGATATGGCTTGACAGTTGCTTATGTATGAGCATAGCTGTCCCTGATGCTGCAGGTGCTCCAGCCGTGTTTAGCATCGTGCCAGACTCTGTGACTCCTCAGGCTGTAATGTAACCTCATACTGAGTTTGAGGGGTTGCCAGTAACGTCAGTGGAAGTTAGAAAATCAAAACCATTGTGGCACACAGAGTTCTTCCTTTCCTTTTCTAGAGAATGCTAGAAGCTTAAGGATTGTGTTTCTTTTACAAATACATGATTTATTCTGAGATTCAAAAAAAATAAATGAAGTCATTGTAGTTTTCTGGTTTAGTGGTCATGAGCTGTGTCTGCAATAGAGAATCAAGCTATTTACTGGAAGAAGTCAGTGGTCTGAAATCTAAATAGCGCAGTGCTGATGCTGACTTTGACGGTATTTGCTCATCTCTGTGTAAATGCCTGTTCAGGCTGCTCTGATGGCTATACTTTCTGGGTGCCTCGGGAAACCCAGGGATGCATCAGTTCACAGAAGGAGATTTTAAAGTCTATCAGCCTGTGTAATGGAAAAACAGTAGGAGGACAGGTGAGCTGTTTCCTGCTCCACGATGGTACTGAAATAATTCAGATGGAAGCCCATTGGAGTCAAGTGGTTAAATGCCTGCTGAAAGGAAGTGTGATTATCTCATCTCTGAGAGCAAAATAAAACCTGTTAAGACTTTATGTGAGAGATTTGTAAGGCTTCCCAGTGGGTTGCAAGATTCCTAGGGAAACATGCAGGGTGCATGTTTGTGCTGGGAAGCAGTGAGGGCCAGCAGCTCTCTGCAAAAGAGGGAGCTGGGACTGAGGGTGACAACACGTGGCTTTTGAGGAGACCACCCAAAAGCAGCCCAGTCCCAGTGCACCCGAGCGCAGCAAGCAGGCCAGGTCCAATGGTGGAAACCAGGGTCAGCTGGGATCCAAGGCAAACTCGTGGTGAGGCAGCTCTGAGGGCAAGCAGGGAAGTCTGTCCATGGGCTGTGGCTCGAGTCCAGATCCACATGACCCAACAATGAGAGCCCAGTTTAAATGCAGCTGTGATGTGTGAAGGCAGGAAACCCCTGCTGATGCTGAGTGAGCTCCATTTTGCAACAGGTCAAACCATGGTCAGGTACTTGTAGCACAACAGAGAGCAACCACTGAGTGCAAGCAGCCCAGCTCAGGGGAGAAGGGAGCCCAGGTGGTATTTTGCTTTGACCACTTTTCTGAATAACCATTTGCAGTGCTGTGTCGGTAGTTTGCATAATTTCAGAAGTGAAAGGAAGGGATGTGTGGAAGTGTGTACATCTGAAAGAGTAAATACAAGCAGTTCAAGTCACAACAGCATGCAGTTATCCTATGGAGTACTTGCAGTAGAAGCATAATTACAAGTCAGATAATGCTAATGATTCTGTAGTGTCATATGAATGTAGAATTTAACTCATACACAAGGAAGAAAAGCAGAACATGGTACTGGAAGTCTTTGCAGTGCTTTAAGACAACAGAAATCTGCAAAAATAAAAATGGGCTTGAAGAAGTCTTACCCCTCAGTTATTTGCAGGCATACTAACTCAACCTGTGGCTGTGATATCGAGACAGTTTGAGCTGAACTGACAGATCATTGCTGCTGATACGGCAGACCCCACACCATCCATGCCTTTGTCCAGCCATCTGGGTCTGCTTCTTACATTTTCCTGTTTGAGTACTTACACACTTCTGTCTGTGCACACTGACTGACTGGAACAGTAGAAAATGACCAACAGGGGAAGAGGTCAGAGTGTCAGACTAAAACTGGATCGTGTCTGTTGGGTCAGTCATTTGAATCAGCAAACTGCAGTCCAAATCCTGGGGCACTCTGAGCCCGTGGTTTGTGACAGCAAGAGGAAGAGCAAGAGCTCTTCATTTGGGTGTGGAAAATCACTGAGTTGCTTCCACTCTTGGTGAAATGACATTTTCTGAGACTGAAGGTCAGGATGGTGTGGGAAAATTCCAGGTTTGCTCAAGTGGGTCAGTGTTTTTTCACTGACTTCAGTGAGGCTGAGATTACTCTGGTTGTATTTGTTTAAAGCAAAAATGCCTGTAAGATCGGCTTCTAATTAATTAGTGTGTTGTGAATGCAGTACTCCAGACAAGTAAGTTAAGGGATTCTGGTTTGATTTGTACTATGAGGATTAAAAGAAAAAAAGTGAAAACCATAAAGAATCTATTCCTTGTGTGCTGTAAACTGCAAAAACACCTTTTAAAATATGTTTTGTCTTACTCCAGCTTTGTACAATGCTAAACTTGTTGAAATACTCAGATTTCATGTGAGTGGATGATTGATGGCTAGGTAAAGTGAAGTTACATTAGCTCTGTTTGTAGAGACAAGCCATATACGAAGGGTTTGCTCACAAGAATTCGAAAATAGGGTGGCTTTGAATTTAGGCAAGTAAGGTGATTTCATTGTTCTATTTTTTATGTGAAATATTTCTCCAGTTTTCATGAATGGCATAACAGTATTTGGGCAGTAGATGAAAGGGGAAAGATCTGAAACCGCTTTCCCTTGAAAACCAAAGAAATAGGTTTTTGCAATTTTTCTAGCAGAAAGTTATACGTACAAAGGCAGCAGTGAGTAAGCATGAGAGTGACAGTGTCCAGCTCTTTGCTGATGATATATAAAAATACTGGAGCACTGGCATTTTGCTTGTTTTTTCCCCATTTCGTTCTGTTAACTATATATGGTAGAAAACAACATCCGTGCAAACCCCAGATGTTCAGAAAGTACAGAAGTTAAGAAGAGTGCATCTCCTGGCTTTCATCCAAAACTTCTGGTGACATTTTGTTGGATTTTGTTGTGATAATTACTGCTGCCTTACTGCATATCTCTCAGACAGTTTTTAAACGATTAGACCAGGATAATGACAGATCTAACAGTCCATGTCCACAGTACAGTAATTTTTCTAAGCAGGGAGAACCAGAGTCCCTTCCCTCCTGTACAGATGATGGCCTTGAACAGCAGTGATTTGGAATGCCTTTCATAAACCTTCTGGATGGATACTTTCATTTCATTTTCACTGTCATCATAAACTTTATGCAGCATCACTTACAGCTGGTTGCATTGCAAATTTTTTTCAGTACTTGCAGGTTCTTCCTTGCTAATGATTTTACCAAAACATGTTGCTGTTGGAAAGCTGAAACCAGACAACTGTAGTGGATGGTGATAATCACAGTAATGATCGTGTTCTCTAGACTCCTGCTTAAGGAAGGGGGCTTGGCAGAGTGTCTTCTGATGTCATCTGAGTGCAGGGAGGCAACTGAGTGCCCTGAGTGATCTGATTGAGCTCAGTGACCTATTTGTGTTAGGTCACTTAGATCAATCTGTTTGTATGAGGGACCACGATGGTTGGTGCTGACAGAGTTGTTTTGCTTAAGTTTACCAGGGTTTACATAAATTTTGAGAGTTTGAAGGAACTGCATGAATGAGAGAAGAATCTACAAGAGAAAATAAAAGGTTCTGAGGACAGTGTGGCAAGGGAGGAAGTAAGAAATGAGTGTCAGGTGCTAATGAAAAGATACTTTTACTTGCAGAAGGATTGGGGTGAACAATTGAGGTCATGTAGACCTTTAAACAGCAGACCTCAGAATCCAGTGGAGGATTGGACTTTCTCCCCTTCCTGAGGGGGACAGATTGATAGGGTAAGCAACCTGTTTCACTGTAGGTCCAAAGGAATGAATTTAACACACATTTTGTAATCCTGTGAAAGGCTGCCTGTAAATCAGTCTGATCACAAATGGTTATCTGATTATTTTGGTACTACCTGTGTCACTCTCTGTGTGCTACTGACTGCAGATACGCTTGTTCATCTTTTGCGTGTATTGGACAATGTTATTTCTGGGGACAGTAAGTACAGGAGAGAACAAGTCATGTTCTTTAAATCTGTAAGCCATTCCGATTGTGTTAAAAAGAAGAGCAGCCTGAGGACTGCTCTAGATATTTATTCTGTGATTTGAGGAATAGCAACAAAACTGGTGAAGTAATAAGGAAAATTCTCTGTAGGGCATCTGTGGAGAAAAATGGCCATCCAGTCCCTCCACCTCACGTGGCTTAAAAGGGCAGGATTGGGGATAAATGAATTAGTCCCCTGAGTTTAAATTGGTATCTTCATCCACATACTGGGAAATGTCCATCAAAGAGCAGTAAGATGAGGCTTCCTTTGCTTTATAGAGGAGAACTGCAGGCCACGCACATGCGAGTTCGTCTGTGGGAATCCAAGTGGACCTGCTTTCTGGGCTAGCACAGCTGGTTTTGTGTGGTCCTTCATATAACAGTGGGAATCATTTCTTGAATTTTTAAATATTTGCTGTTGGTCCTGCATTAGGAAAAAAGTTGTCAAAGACTCTTCTGTTAAATAGCTTCAAATCTTGTTTCCATACAGATTTCAATGAAGCAGTGCCAGAAACGGAGAGACTGGACTCCAAAGCTCTGAAGACTCGAGCTCAGCTTTCAGTGAAGAACAAGCGGCAGAGGCCTTCTAGAACGAGGCTGTATGATAGCATCAGTTCAACTGATGGAGAGGACAGCCTTGAACGAAAGGTGAGAAGGACTCTACCTGCTCTTTCAGGCTTCCTATGGAGTGCTAGATTGCCCCTGTAAGTCATTTCATCCTCTGTCTTTGTCCTTTCATTGTAGCACAGGCAATATTTAATTCCTCTGTGGCCAGTACGGTCTGAATGTCCTTGAGTGATGTGTGAGTCTGGTCTCCTTTGAGTTAGCACACCTGGTTTTTGGGTTTTGTTGTGTTGGTTTCTTCAACAGGAATCCTGGGCTTTCTGATTCATGTGTGCTTTATAATACAGAGTGAGTCTTTTCATGTATGGAGGAGGTGAAAGGAACTTGAATCTTGCATTTCTCTACTTGTTAATTTGTTAACACTTTGCTTGCTGTTTTGTCCTATTCTGACTTCTGTCTGAAAGCAAATACCAATAAACAACAGTGTGTGGTATCGAAAGGTAACAACATGAATTGCTAAAGCGTTTCGTACAAATAGAAGGCTAAATAATGAATAAAATAATTGCATGTTCAAAGTAAACCTTGCTCTGATTGGTTGCTAAATGGTATAACCTGCTTTATAATCTCTTATACCAACAGCCATCAAACAGTTACAGTAGTCCCATGCACATTTCAAAATCACCACTGCCCTTATGTATGAGAGCATCCTCACCAGCATCAGATTCTGGTGCTTCCTCCCTCTCCCCCGTGGCTAGCAGTGCAACAATCTCACTTGACAACCTAACTGAAAACCAAGAAGAAGGACAGCACCACAAAGGAGGTGCTCTTTCCCCACATGCTCGGGGGGACACTCCACTTTCCTCTCCTTCAATATCTGGGCACAGCTCTGAAGCATCTCCTTTGCATCACCCACCTGGCAGGAATATTATGCAGGAAAAAGGTATTACTGTTTTTTACAATAAATTGATGCATCATTTTGCTCCAATCTACTTTATGAACTTTTGTTGTGTGGTAGGACCTTAGCAAATAGAGGGCCATCATCTTGTAACTTCTGTTGCCTATCTGGAGGTCAGAAAATTACAAATGACCTTGTATGATGGTAAAAGAAGAGAACAAAGTTTAAAATGGGATCGGGAACTGCTTCCTTCCTCTTTTGTTTTGTTTTGTTTTGTCTTTGTTAGAAATTGCTGAAAAAGCTAGGGGGAAGTTGCCTTTAAGAAAATCTCATATTTCATTTAAAAAATAACCCAAACCAACACAATTATTGGACCTTGGAACCTTTCTGTATTATAAACATGCTTAACACAGTGTACTTAGCTCGAATTACGTGATTTTGGCACTACTAGGTGATTTTTTTGAAGGGTGGGGAAAGGAGTGTAAAGCAAGAATAACAGATTGTGGCTCTTAATTGCTGAGAGGCAGCGTAGTCTGAGATCAAACAAGAGGTTAATGTCTGGAGACTTTTTGTTCACAGAAAAAAATACGAAGTAATTTGTTGGGGGAGCTTGGCCGCATTGTTATTTATTTAATTCAGCTTAAGATGCATAAAACATCATGCAATCGTAGCCAGCTCAGGTGCACGTCTCAGACACTGTTTATTAGAGGCATTAACAATAAGATACAGCACAGAATACTGAGCCCTCCTTTTCAGATGCCTTCTGAAGTGAAAAATAGCGTTTTACACAGCTTCAGCATTCTTAGCTATGCACCTTGTATTCTCAAACTGTCACATACGTTAAAATATGTGATAAAAATTGTTTATGAGTGAGGACTGTGGGAATACCTCTGGATAGGTTCATAACAGACTTTGCCTTACTTAAATTAACTGAAAAGAACAATTTATTGAGGATTTTTGTTTGTCTGTGTGTCTGAAAAGACTTGCCATTGATTTACAACTTTTTTTTCTTCACCTTCATACATGGCTTTCACACAGATTCTTAAAGTACAGATTAATCAAGTTTTTTGAATTTGGGGTAGGTTAATACAGGCTAGTCCATGGTTTCTGAAATTGCTACTCTAACTGTACTCAACTGTATAATTCTTAATGAATCAAAGTTAAAGTCAGTATTTGAGTTTTGCAAGTAAAAATAAGGGTGTGAACATAAGAATGTGACTTTCCAAACGTCAACTTGAGTGTATGATTGGTTTATCAGTGGAGTTGTAAATCCTCCATTTCCAACTGGTGTATGAAAAATATCTTGATAACAATTTAGTGGAGCCCAGCCTTGTAGTGTAAGGAATAGCGTATTATAGTCCACCCACTGTATAACTCTTTCCATTTTAGGTTTGAAAAATAATCTCTGTCTAAATATCACTTCATGCTTTCCCCACTGTGACTGTTAAGTAAACAGCCAGTGCTTTTGGGTGTATCAGATTCTGATGAGTACATGAAAATTAACCAGACCAATTTAGTTTCTAAAGGAAAATTTGCATTCAGTATGCCCTACAAAAAGAAATATCCTACAAGCAGTTGTGTGGCAACAAGTGTTGTAGCGATGCGGTTTTAATTGATTATTAATTTGGCTGTCAATCTCATAACAGGTCAGAAAATAAAAAGGGCTATTGTGTTTGTTCTGCGTGTTCAGGAAGGGATTTTTTTGACATGGAAAGAGAGAATATCTGTGGACATGTGTGTGTCCACTGATTAATCTCTCATTAGCAAAAGTGAGTGTTAGCGAGCTCACACTTCTCTGTTGTATTTTTCTTATGAAATCCTGCAGTGTTGTAGGAAGAGCTGAAGTGGCATGTGATAAGTTTCATTCCAAAATGATGAGGAATTTTGCTTATTTGTCTTTTAAGCACAACTTTTTCATGTATGTGTGTAATTATTTTCTTCAGTTCTGCCTCTTTGGTGCAGCAGCACCTTTGTCAAGGCAGCTGAGGTGACCCCTATGGGCAATGCTGTGCTGATCTGAGGCTGACTGCAACTCTTGTGACACTGGGGTAGAAAGTTATGTCTAGTCTCCTTTCGCATCCATGAGCCACAGATTGCTTACAGCAGCTCTGTGAGCCTGAAAGCGATGTATTAAACAGCTTCTTCATCATTTGTTGTGAGGAATTGACTCTCCCTCACCTTCTTGGAAGAACTAGAAGGAATCAGGGAAGATGTGCCCATCCAGGGTGGGCACAGAAATCTGGAGAGGGACTTTTTACAAGGGCATGTAGAAATAGAACTAGGGGGAATGGCTTTAAACAGAAGGAGGGTAGATTTAGGTTAAACATTAGGAAGAAATTCTTTACTGTAAAGGTGGTGAGATGCTGACACAGGTTGCCCAGAGAAGCTGTGGCTGTCCCATCCCTGGCAGTGTTCAAGACCAAGTTGGATGTGGCTTTGAACAACCTGGTCTAGTGGAATGTGTGCCCATGTCTGGGAGGTTGGGACTAGATGATTTTTAAGGTCCCTTCCAACGCAAACCATTCTATGATTCTGTGTGCAAGACCCTGTAGATTCAAATCTATTCTGCCACTGAAGCTGATTTTGGGACCCAGCCTATCCATCTTCCACTATATCCCATAGCCAGCATGAATGTTTTCCCTAGCAAATTGTCATTATTCAAAGGACCCAGCTGGGCCAAGCTGTGTATGACTGGGAGCAGAGTGATACAAGAGCCCAAATAGAAATTTGCCATACCAGGTAGCAGTACGTGTCCCTTCTGAGCTTTCCAGACTGTTTCTTCTACTACAGCAGCAAAACCTCCAGCTACTAAATGCTTTCATTATTTGCCCACCACAAAAGCAGCAGACCTTGGAGTTTCATTTACTGTCCTTAAGAAGTTTCTCAAAAAAGCCCACTGCCTCCTGACCCCCAAGCCCCACTTCCCTGTGAATAGTTAGTGTGAAAATAAACATTAAGCAAAGTGCAGGGCTGATGCAAAGTGAGTTCCTCAGCCTTCCTGGGGAATGGGTTTCTTCTCTGGAGACTTTGCCTTGCTTTTGTCACTCTTCATATTACCCTTTTTTTTGTTCTCTCTTTTGGCATGAGGTTACTTGTCAGTTGTTCTTAAATGTTTTTTTTTTTTTAATATAAGGAGTTGGTAGAAACAGTGTGGCTTTTAGAGTGTGGGTATAGCCTTATTTTCCTGCTTGTCCTGGGATGTATGAAGCAGTTGCACATCGAATTTTTTACTTGAATGAAAACTTGGCCAAATATTATTCACAAAGCAACATACGAAGTTCTGTACACATAGTTGACTATGCGATAGTGCTCCAGGATTTTGGGTTAATTCTGAAGGCTCAATTTACGTCAGCTACAGTAGGATAAATCCACAAACCCAGCAGTGCTTTCAGTTCAAAGTCACTGTACATCTGAGGTCACATTGTAAAAGTCACCAAACTGCAAGTGACATGAGTGACTGACCTTCATTTGCTTCCTCTAGAGTATCTGGGGACACTCAGTGTTTAAGAATCACAGAAACTGTGTCTGAATTTTTCAGCTGCTGTGTTTTCTTTTTGCTGCCATATAGATTTCACAGGATGTTTTGCAGACTCAGATTCATTGTTTTGACTTTATAGGTACTGCAGGCTGTTTCCTCTTTAGGCTGTTAAGTGTTTGCAAAAGAGATCAAAAATTGCTAGATATCTCAGGGCAAATTTATTAACTAATCTACTTTTAATGCTTTTGTAATTCAGAATGGTTGAATTTCAAGTTAGATGTTTATTTTAACAAAGATGTTCAAGCTAAACAGATAACTGTTACCTAACGTGTCCATCCTAAAAGGTACTCTTGGCTCCAAAGTTCAAGAAAGGGTTTCAGGAGTCATTTTGGAAGTAAATCATACATACCAAATGAATTCTATAAAAGGAAACTTAAGTGGCTACAGCTGAGTTTCAGAATGGATTCACTGTAATATTTGCCTGTACATCTTTTATATTGTTTGACTTCCTACATATTCATTCAAACTCAACCAAAATTAACTTTTCATTTTCTTCAATGAAAATAAGATTTCTTTGTGTGCATTTTCAAATTCTGAAAATATTTATTTTTATTCCACTTCACACTATCTTCTTAAACATGAGAATAATTCACCTAATTAAATCGTACCCACACATCTGTGTACATGTATGCATATCTAATTATGAAAAAATACACAACTGTTCTGGATGAAAAATGGAATAGCTATCAGTAGCAATTAAAAATAATAATGTACATTCTTCCGTGTACAAATGTATCCTAGATGGTGCCACATGTGCTCAGGCAGCAAGAACAACTAGCCCTATTCTAGGGCATACAGAGAAACTAAAGCGAAAACTTGCAGATCTTGGGTAAGCATCTTTTTATTTCAAATGTTTCTTTTTTTTTCATTAAAAGGGTTGAAAGTAAAATTTCAAAGAAGTTTCCTGATGTCTTCTAATATTGTTGTAGGGCTCCCTTGAGAAGGAGTTCAAACAAGGGCAAGAAGCGGAAAGAGAAAGAAGCTATTAGGGTGACCTACTGCAGTAGGTATGGGTAAAACACTGAGGATGCATGAAATGATATGCCAGTAACACTGAAAAAACCTAATCATCCTAGCAGATGGGAACACTAACAGTCCCACTGACTTCATATAAATAAGTGTTAAGCTTCGTGATGACCTTCTGAGCTTACAAACCCATATTTCTTAACTAACAAAAGGCTAACATTTAATCTAAAAATACTTGGAGGATTATAATATCGTGGCGTCGCTACTGCTGTTGCATTCGCTAATGGGATTTGCAGAAATAGGTTATTGGAGCTGACCCACAAGATGCACAAACATTCAGTTAATAATACCCATGAACCAGAAATGTTGACACAAATCCACATATTTTTTCTAAAAGCCCCCAGAGCAAGGTTGGGCAGCAGCTGTTCACCGCAGCTTCACAGCACCCACATCAGGCATGCTTTCAGGAGGGCTTGGTTCTGGAAGTGAACATCATGAAGTGAAAATAGATAGGAAAAAATGCTGAATGCATTTGTCACATCACCAGCTCTCAGGAAAGGAATTTTTAATACCTTGTGAAATCTGATGAGACCACATCACCAGCAACTGGACTCTGAATAAATGAATGTTCATACTGGCAGGAAGCACTCTTCTCTGCAAAAGCTAATGTAAATTTTTACTCTCCTCACATACTGGTGAATTTAACAAGATCATAGCTACAGGGTTGATAGCTGGTTCCAGGTATGAAATACAAGTTAGTGTCAGGAGCACTAACTTAATACATTCTGAAAGTCTAGAAAGAACAGAGCAACTCAGAAACAGTTTGCACATAAAACAATCAAAATAACACCTAGTGATAAAAGAGCTATCAGAAGAAAGCAAACTCTGAATGCTACTCAGGAAATCATTGTGCTAGAAAGCCAGTATGTAGCAATTTGTAGAGTTTTGCTGACAGTCTCATATATGGAGACACAGTGACAAGTACATTGCATAGCTCCGGAAAATCAGAAAAGCAAAGAAGCCTTAAACTTCCAATTTAGTCCCTCAGGCACACTACTGAAGTGCCATGTTCTGCCTCAGCATACATCTGTACATTTGTATCCTGCAAATATCTGGCAGGACCTTCAGTGATCTTAGTCAGCAGTCATTGCCTCTGTGCTCGTGTCAGAAAACCTGTTCCATTTGGTTCCACTGGTGTGTCTGCTTGCAGCGTGACCTGGAGTTACTAATGTTTGCTGCTGGATGTCCCTAGTGATAGGGAGAGATTTGTTAAAGCAAATTCTCTCCCCTGCTGTGTAGCTGTAAGGCAGCTAGTGCCCTTAGCAGGGTATTACATATCATGCAGCATTTAAATACTAAGCTACAGGGTGGGGAAAAGGAATGTATACGTGTTTGTATACTTGAACTTGATTATATTCCTTGTAGCAATATAGCGTGTAATAGACGTTTGTGAGACTGCATAGGTATATTACTTAGAGAAAGCAGATCTCAGTGTAGAGGTCAGTTGCTTAGTAGACCATTTAATAAACCAGTAATTTATATTGTTTGTTAATATTTCTGTATTTGGATACAGTCACTAAAAGCAAACTTTAATACTGTTTTCAAAGTCAAAATTCATAAGCATTTGTAATTCTCACTGTGCCTCTGTAAACTGGAATGTTATTATTTCAGTACAGCTTTTTAAACACCCGTTGTCACTTCCTTTGTTAGTAACTCCACAGAATTTGCCTCAGAAGAAATGTGAGGATGTTTTCTTTACAGTCCAGTGCTGTACGAGCTCTTTGAAAGAAGGATAGTGATGATCAAAAGACAGCATCCTGTTATAATTATGTCCATTACAGTGACTGATTGAGGTAGAATTAATCACACTGTCAGATGGATGTTGCATGTGTTATTTTGCCATTGCCAAAAAGTAGCACTCACGATCTGTGAATAAAATCCTCAGTTACTTCCTAAGACTAACACTGATGTTGCATATATAGAAAATTCCCCATTCAAGTAAGAAACATATATTCCCCTGTCTGAAGCTAGGTGATTTGGGCAACATCATTTGTTTTTTCTTTCTACTTTTAAGCAAGATTAGCGGATGAGGAAGGAGTACGGGACTGGGTCAGATGCATCTACCTTTCCTTATGTAGCTGAAAGGGAGGAAGAATCCTTATGCTTCCATGGGTGAGGGCCCTTTGACAGCCTCAGTTTCATCCATTCAAAAAAGAGGCATCACAATATAAAGAGGTCTAGTGATTGTGATAATAATGATTTAGAAGCTTCCAGAAGGTAGAAGTTGAGGGGAGATTTACATACTTGCAGTTTACTGGTGGCTGATAAGAGCAGTAGAAGTACAATGCTGTGAAACAGTAATAGATATGTTAATATAAATAAAAGAAGGAGAATATGACATATGCAGAAGTTCTTTGAGGCAGATATTTTGCATAGTTATTTTTAATTTACATACTGTACTGTTGACATATATGTAGTGAATAATTTTGGCATTTATTTTATTTTATAACTGTTACCTTTGCCTTGATCACATTATCCACTGCAATCCTTGTTACTGCAGAGGAACTGATAATATCACAAAGGTGTTTCTTTAATTTTTTCTGTATTAATATTTTTAATATTTAATAACTATAAATTCAAGATAATAGTATTTTTATCAGTATTTAGCTATTGTAACAAAGGCACATCCCCATAGATGGATAGAGAAGCACCTGATTCATTCTGCCTGTGCTCAAAATCCAAGCCAGACATTCTCTGGGAGCCAGAGCCCGCTTGGGTCAGTGCTGAGTCTCATCTAATCATGCTGATTTACCGCTGGGGCTCAGAAAAGTACCAACATAACATGTGGCTTTTTGAGTGGAGCCGGTTCACATCTGAGCAGTGGGAGTACAGGCATTTTCAGCTGGTGTTGGTCTCCATTTGCTGTGTGCATGCTGTCTAAGAGAGCTTAAGTTAAAAAACGGAATCAAAAGAACCCACATTTTTCTTCTGCTAAAAGAGGGATTTCAGGCATCCCTCTACCAGCCGTGTGCCACTCAGTTCTTTAGTCACAGTTACTAGGAATGTCACCCTTTTCACAATTAACTGCTTCTAGCATTTTGTTTTATTTTATTTTATAATCTAACACATATTCCTGCTCCTTTCTCTTAAACAGGACCATCAGAGAGATGCTGCAGAAATCAGCAAACACTAGATCTGTAGCAGATCGATCCTCCTCTCTCCCACACTGTGTACCATTCACATGGTATGGAGAGAGTGGCAAGGGATCCCATTCTTCTAGCAACCTGCCATCATCCGCCAGCTCAACTGAGCCTTCTTCTGAAAATATAAGTCCAGCTAAAAAAGGGTCAAAGGTAGAAAATAAAAACTACCTTATTCCCACTGTGTTGAGTGGCATAATTGGCTTCATGTTCCTGGAAAAAGAACAAGCCAATATGTGACTACTACAATAAACAGAGCATGATGTTCATTGTACGGTAAAAGCGCATCCAAACAGAACATCTCTGTCATTGTACCATTCCCCATTCTACCTTTTTACTCTGTCTTAATGTACATTAATTCAGTAAACTAACTGTGGTGTGCTGTACCGTAACGAAAGCAAGTGGTGCCAGTGGAAATTAGCATTTGGATCCACTGAACAAATGCTAGATTTGTGTATTCAGTTACGGGTATTTTCTGCATTCTTCAGGACTGATTGTGGGAGTACCTACCCATGTTCAAATGAGATGTTTGCAAGTGAAGAAATGCTCTATGCCGTCAGTCATCTGCCTTTTTTCCCCCAGTAATGTAATCTGTTTGTCATGCATGCTGGATGTTGGGTTTAATTCTCTATATGAAGATGCTTGAACTGTAAACATGAACTATCGCAATTTAATACATCTGTGTGATTCCTTTCTATGTGCATGAATGTTTCAGCATGATAACTCAAATAACCCTTAGTTCTAGTAATATCCTTAGCTTTTTCATGTTTATTTTCACTTCTGGAAAATACTTCCCTGCCTTTATCTTCTTATAACTTGCAGGAGTTGACTTTTTATATTGGTCTGGTAAAAAGAAACAGATGTGGTTCTCAACTTTATGTAGAGGAATATGAATCAGAAAACTAATTTCTCTGTCTTCTGCCAATACATGCATGTACATAATAGTAATTTGCACAGGCATTTCTTACTCTTATGATACTAGAAGCTGTTGATACCTTAACTTCTGCTGTCCACCAAGGTGCGCAAGGTCATAGTTGTGCTTACGTTATCTGGTGGGGAGAGCAACACAGGGCTGACCAGTCCAAGTCAGACTGATACAGAAGGCCACAGGTGAAATCTCTGAAGTTTAAGGAGAAACTAATCAGTTACCCAGTTTCTTTTGAAAAAGAAAGATGAGGATTAGACATGTAAATCCTATTTGTGCCTTTAAACAAGTATTGCATAAAAGTAACTTTCAAATTTCACCAATTTTCAAATGGGGAAAAACACCTCCTTTTACTGCTACTATTAGGTTGGGTGGTTTTGTGGGGATTGTCCTGCTATCATATAGAAAATTAAATTTTAAAGACTTAAATTCATCATAAAGCTGAAGCTTGCACAAAATAGAGGTGAAAGAAAAATCGAAGTACTTAGAAAAAGATGTTCTTCACACAACAGGAGGTAGAGCTGGTGAACTCCTGGCCTAAGAACACTGTGGGGGCTAAAAGTTTGCATATTAAGGAAGCCGCTCTGATTTTCTTCTCCTCTATAAAGAGTTCAGAAAAACAGAACAGGAATTCTCAATGTAGGTGTGAGAAAACTGATTACAAAAATATTTTGATGTTCTCTGTAAAGTTTGCAGGCTCTTAAATTAACAGTTCCTCTACTGCCATTCAGATTTTTAAAGCACAGCATGGTACCAGTATTTGGTTGGATTTCCATCAACATTATAAGGACCAGCACTTGATATTTTTAAAAGACTTCTGGTTTTCAGGAAGTATCTTGGGGGGGATAGAAAGATAATATTTTTAGTGTTGTTTTTGGTTTTGATGTTTGGATCCTTTTTTTGTTGAAATTGAATATCAAAGGTGAATTGAATTTTTTATTCATTTAGCTGTTAGACTAGAGTGGACATTAGAGGTCTCTCTGTCATAAAGTGTGTGTTCAAGTTAAAAAGAATGGTGTCATTATTTTTTTAGATACAGAGATTTGGGTTTCTTTATGGTTCTCACTCTAATATGAAATACTTGTTAATTTTTGTCTTCTTCTGATGGTAATTTTGCTGCATTGCTAGAAAATACATACATTATTTTGCTGTTCTTTGCTGTAAGGTGTGATGTTTGTTTTATGGCTGTTAGTTCAGTAAATAACACTCAATGTCCAAAGATCTCTTATACTTTCAATTTCAGTTTTTCTAAAGGAATAGGCAAAGAGGGAGGTTCCTTTCACTTTTCTAGGTGGTTATTTGGACTCAGAAATGGATTCACAGGATATTCTCTTTGTTCTCTCAGTAGCAGTTTTCACTTCTCTCAGCTAATTAATCCTCTGTCCTATTCTTTGTGCTACTGCCTGTGCTACACTTGTCCTAAATATTTGGAGGACAGTAAAATGTTAGTGATTAACCTGCGGAAGCAGTAATTCAGTTCCAGGATGAGAGCCAGCATCTTAAAGAGGGAGTCTGGAAATTGCTTTCAGACTCCTTTGCTATTCATTGACTCATTAAACTGGCAATGTCTTGAAGTATACAGTGGTAAAAGTACAGTGTATTCTATAAATATTAACAATACTAAAGATTAGGCTTCCTCATGTGTATTATAACTGGTCTGGTAAATGAAATCCCTCCTGAGCTATGCCAACCTGGAAGGCAGAAAGCAAATTTCCCTTTTAGATATGCATATGAGACTGTTCATTCATTCAAACTCATTTATGTTTTTCTCCACAGAATTTCACATTCAACGATGACTTCAGTCCCAGCAGCACAAGTTCAGCTGATTTGAGTGGTTTAGGAGCAGAACCTAAACCCCCAGGTTTCTCACACTCCTTAGCACTGTCATCAGATGAGGTATGCTAATGAAATTAAGGTGTGAAATAGTTGTTTCCTTTCCACTAGCATTTTGCTTCCTAATTACTCAAATAATAAAGGAATATTTTCTAGGCAATAGAAGGGAGAAGAAAATTAATGTTGGTTTCTAGATTATTATTTTTCTTGTTCGTATAATTATGATTTGAAATAAAGGTCCTATGATATTACTGTAGGAAAGTAGAATGTGTTTGTTTCCTAAGAGATGCTATATCCTCACACATTTCAGTATGTTTTCCCTACATTCAAAGTATGTACATGTGGACCCACAGATAGATATAAACGTACACTAGATATAGTTGAGACAGTTTTGAGATAATAAACATACAGTATAGTTTGGTAAATATAGTTGAGATGTCAGGCACTTTCACCTAGGCTAATTTTTACCCTGATACATTAAAATAACATGTGTGTTACTGTACCTGAATGTATGTACATTGGTTAGAATGTATATGTGTTAATCCACTTTGCATTCTTCGTGCTTGCTTTGCACAGTGGATTTGACTTCAGTTACTTCAAACCAGAGTTTTTTCAAACAATGCTAATGTGAAAAAGCATTCCAAACCCTGGAAATTGGTGACATAATTGAGCTGAATATAATATACTGAAAATATTTTTCTTAAGATACTAGTTTTGTAGCTTGGTTGTTGGTGAAGTTGCACAATTTGACAGTAGTTGACATGTCCTTTGGACTCAGGAAACCTGTGTCTTTCTCCTTGTACTCCTTAAGAGCTTTACATTTTCATGTGAGGTTGCAGTCAGGGTTTTTTACTAGAGAGGAGGAACTTGAAGTGCATATGTTTTTTTTTTGTATGATAGATAGGTTTGTTCTATTAGTGCCTACATGTTTTGCATGGGTTTAAAGAATGAGAGCTGCTCCATGCAACACCGTTTGACAACATGCAAGTCTATAAACCCAACCATTCTTCAGAGGTTACTTCCTGCAGGTAGTAAAGGGGCAAAATTTATAACAATCATAGGAGAATGTAGACACTCCTATATAGAGTGAATTCTATGAATTCTGTATTCTATGAATAGCTGAAAACTACGAAGTTGTCTTTTAGACTTTATTTAGTGTTAATACTATCTCAGTAGTACATTTCATTCTCTTACCATGTTTCATTCTCCTTAAGTATTTTAATGTGACAGTGCTCTGCTCCCAGTGGTATTGAACTAAAAGCTTGAAAATGCTTTCATTTTGCTTGTTCAGCTCTCTACTTTATCACTTCTAAAATACTGAGCCGGAACAGGTCTATAAAAATGAATGTGTTTTCCCCATCCTATGCTGTGCCAAATTGCAGCCTCTGAATCAGGCAGTGTGTTCAGCAAGAGCTGCAGTGGGAGCTTCCACAACCACTCTGGCAGGGGATTAGGCCAGCATTGCCCCTCAGCCTTTCCTAGCCTATTGCTGCAAGCACTCCTTTGCTCAGGCTTCTCTGGCAGATCATAATTATTTGAAGGAGATGAAAAAAAAATGAAAGGGTTTTTCTCCTCTAATTAAGGAGCTTTTGCTCCTTGGAAATGGAGCTATCAGGAAGATTCCCACTGCTTCTAGGGTGTCAAGCGTAGAAACTCTAAAGGGGTTTCACTGACACAGTCTCAGGTTTGGCTGCCAAATCATTTGTGCTGAGCTTTCAACATAACCTCTCTGCTTCTGGAAGTAATTTTTTTTAAAGAAATCTCTTTGGTTTTGAGTAGCCATATCTGTTTGCAAATCTTGGTGCTGCCCTTGCCTGAACTTTTACATGCTGTTACATGTTCTGTATTTTGTTTCTATAATGCTTTTCTTTCCCATTTCTTTGTTGCTCCCTCACTCAGAGCCTGGATATGATTGATGATGAGGTGAGATACTAGTGTGCTGTTGTGGTGAATCGTGTGACCATCGCGTGCCAATATACCACATCATTTGCAGATTCACTTTCCTTGTTTTACGGTGTTGTGTGGCAAACCCCCTTGTTCGAGCAGAACATGCAGATGTCACTGGCTCCTCTCTGCTTGTCTTGAGTTCCCCTCTCCTTCCTGCTAGGAGGTTTCAAGGCCATAGCAAATTGCAGATTTTGCAGTTATGTTGGAAGGGGGAGGAGGGTTTGTGTCAGAGCAAATCCACCAGGCCAAGCATCAGCTGCACCGAGTTCCTGCTGGCAATAAGAGAAGGAAAAGATAGTGCTTGAACCATCTTTTCCCCAGCCCTGAGAACTGGTCAGCCAGAAACTGATAGAACTCCCAGATCATCTAACCCAGTGTAAAAGCTGCTCTAACAGCAGGCAGCTGCTGCAGCCCATAACAGCTGCTTTCTGACCATGGCTGGGACACAGTAGCTTTTGTTTCAGACCTCACTGACATACCTCTGGGTGAAATAAAGTGGCAGATCAGGAACGTGGGGCTGCCCCAGCAGCTGATGCCCCACCTGCCCCTCTTGGTGCTGTGTTCATGCTCTCCTCTGCAGCAGCAGTGGCACAACATGATGAGAGCAGGGCCAGGGCTGTGGAATTGCTTTGTGTTCCTTACCACTCCTCTGTGTCATCTCATAGTCTTCCATAGATAGTATCAGTCTCACTGGCTGTTTGATGTCATCACTTTGAACTGTAGAGTGGGTTTCTGAGGTTCCCCATCCCTGAATTTCTTGCTTTATAGCTTAAAAACATCATAAAGGTCTGTGAATGAGCCCAGGCAGTGGAATGCAGAAATCAATGCATCCTTTAGAAATGTTCTAATTTGAAGGATAAAAATCTTGTGAGGAAGCATACCTGTTTTGAATTGTGCCACCTGGCCATTTCAGTTCCTGTTGGTTAAAAGGAATGCCAGTTCCTTTATCTTCTTCTATTTATAGATGGAAGACTTTTGGGGTACATTGTACCAATTCTTAGATGGCTGGTTAGATACAGATGTGATAAAGCAGTGTGAGATAGTTATTGTGGCATAAAGATAGCGCAGATACCTCTGCTGTGATGCTGGCGGTTTGTACACAGAAAAGTTGATACTCATTGTGTTGCCTTTCAGTAATAATGCAGCATGTTTTTGTCACAGATCCTTGACGATGGCCAGTCTCCTAAGCACAGTCAGTATCAGAGTCGTGCTGTTCAGGAGTGGAGCGTGCAGCAGGTGTCCCACTGGTTAATGAGCCTGAACCTTGAGCAGTATGTTTCAGAATTCAGCGCCCAAAACATTAACGGGGAGCATCTTCTTCAGCTGGATGGGAGTAAGCTCAAGGTAATTGACTGGCTGGACTGCAAGGCTAACTGTAGTGTTTGTTGTCTCTTCAGTTTATCTTACAGGGAGTCACTATTCAGCCAGAAAGCAGTGAATCCCTTTGTGTGGAGTGCTGATAGACTAGAATAATAAACACAGCATAAAGCCACAGCAACACTTTAAGAAATTCCCATACGGATTCAGAAGCTTCAGGAGTAGAGGACGTTTTGTCAAAACCCTGGGTGTATATAAAGTACCCATTATCTGCATGTGTAGAAGTGGTATTTGCATGCATGTATTTTTCTTCCAGCTGTTTTGTAAATGGGTGATTCAGAGAAGATAGTAAATGGGCATACATCAGAAGTAGCAACTGCAGAGTGGATTAGTGGGAGACTGGGGGCATAAGGTGACACCTATTGTACTATGTTAGAATTAAAACCAGTTTTGTTTCATGTAGTGAAAATATGACCCTACTTTTGTCAAAAATAAATACAGGAAGGAGTTGTGGGAAGCACATCAGCTCTGAAGGTCCAGGTTCAGTGTTTCCTTTCAGAATTGTTTTGCTGGCATTTCACTAACTAGGGGGTTTTAGAAGACAGCAAGTGAAATTTTGACTAAGGCAGAGCAGTGAGAATCAGGAAGTCTTGTTCTGTGTAGGCTTAGATGACCTCAGGCAGATAGTTTAACCCTTATTTGTCTCATTTGATCAATAAAATTTGTGGTGGCAATGAGATAGGATTCTTCGATATTCTAGAAGTGAAAGACATGGGTAAAAAGCAGTATGGAAGTGTCTTACACATCAGTAATGTATCTGAGTCTGTCTCAAATTTGCTTAGTTGTTACAGTCTTCTACCTAAGAAAGGTTATTCTTAGAATATGGGAAAAAATGTGATAGATTAATCCATATTAAATTATTTGTCTTGATTTTCCCGACCTCAGGCTCTTGGTATGACATCTTCCCAGGATAGAGCAATCATTAAGAAAAAGCTGAAGGAAATTAAAACATCCTTGGAAAAAGCTCGCAAAGCTCAAGAGAAAATGGAAAAGCAAAGGGAGAAGCTTCGAAAGAAGGAACAAGAGCAACTGCAGAGGAAATCGAAGAAAACAGACAAGGCTTCATCAGATGCAACAGAGGGCACTAATGAGCAGTGATAAGCAGAAGTGCTGCTGTGTTAGGAAAGTGGAGGCGCTTCAAGGGAAGAGAAACTCACATCCACGCTGGTGCCCCTTCAGCATTCTTGTATTCATTACCCAACAGTGTGTACAGAGAAATGGGGCTATACATAGAGTGACTTGGGAAATTTATATTGTGTAGTTTTATTTTCCTGCATATCCAGTTCACGCTCGTTGCTGTTGCCATGTGAAACGACCCCAGCCCCTCAGTTTGTTTTGTTGTTGTTCACAGCTAACAGATTTCATATTTGTGTGGCGGTGTTCCCTTCCAAACTACTCTATTGAGCTCTATGTGTTTGGTCACTTCAGTAACCAGCATGATGCCGAGGAGCATGGTCCACTGCTTCACCTCTTCTGAATAGGATGGCCAGTCAAAACGATTGGTGACCGTTGCTTCAGCTGGGTAAAAGGAGTTGTGCTCTGTCTGATAAGAGTTGATTTAACTTTCTAACTGGAAGTTCAGCTTCTTTACAGCGGTTGGATACTCAGTTCCGTCTACTGGAGTAAGTTCCGTCTTGTGTCAGTACCTTGAAGTGACACTGCTCTGGAAACGCAACTGTTCAGTAACTTCTTATACACTGGAGATAAAGACAGGAGAGTCAATATTCCCCCTGGGTAAAAGACAGGAGGTGAAACTCTTTCTGTTAACTGTACTATAGTTAATCCAGGAAGGAGGCAAAGCCTTAAATGATTATGTGGGTTTACACAGAAATCTGAGGATAACATTTATCCTTTAGATATCTGAGCAAGGATGAATTTCTAACTAGAGCACAGCTCATATATCTGTATAAATTTCATTGTGCTCCCAGTGTGTAGGCAACTTTCTTATAGCACACTCTGCTTTCTTTTTCATGTGTTTTGAATGGGAAACTGGGCTTATTTTGTTTCAGGTTTGTCTTTTTCCAGAAAAAACACCACATGTTCAGATTCATTCTCCAACAAGCATTGGGAGAATAAGCTTTGTGCTGTGCTGTTATGAAGCTGTTGTTGGAAATTATTATCAAACAAGTCTGCTGAAGATACTCAGTTTTTACAGAAGTGCACTTTAAGAAGAGGAAGACGAGGGATTCAGGTTAAAATTAAATGTAGTACATTGCTGTTAAGATCAACGCTGCCATGGAGGTGATGGTTACTAAATCCAAAGCCTGCCATATATTACTGTTTTGATTGATGTGTTTAAAGAATTTTCCCACCAAAACCTGAATTTATGGGCATAGGCTGTAGAATGTTTTGATGGCTTAGCAGTGGTCATATTACATCTTTCAGCGTTTCCTGTTTTCCTGGTATATGAGGACAGCGGCAAAGCCTGCTGTAGTTTTGGCTATGACAGAAGCAGTGTATAACTCACACTGCATGGAGTTACTGCCTCTTAAGAGCAGTATTAAAATACGCAATATTTCTTCAGAAGAATAGACAGACAACAGGCAAATATCCACAATGAAAAGCTAGAGGTATTATGTTATAGTGGAAGCTGACTATGTCACAGCATTTACAGTTGGGAATACAGTCACCTCCCTTTCATGCATCCTGGATGTTGCAGTCTTCACCTAGTCATGCCAACCCTTAAGTTGTTGAAGATATTGATGCAAAGTTAGAATCTTGGACTTAAAATTTTGTCTTCCGGCCTGAAAAATGCAAATACTGAATTCGTTTGAAGAAAATGTTTGGTTTAGTTTGGCTTGGCTTCCCTTCTGCTCTGTACTTTAAGGCGTTCAGATTTGTGTCTGTAAAGTTCTCTGAAGATCAGATTTGAAACAGTTGGGGTGCAATGTTTATAGTTAAGTTTCTTTTGAGCCTAATAATTTCTTTGATGTGTAAAATGGTCTGTAAACCGAGAGAGCCTAGTTCATTCAAAATTAATACACAACAGATCTACTTAACATTAGCTTTATTTTGCCTTCCAAATCAAATTTCTGCAAGTTTCTGATGTATATTTTATTCAGAGCTAAAAATTAAATTGCCAGAAAAGATAACTTCCTGATATTTCTAAGGCTTATGATATATTTCTTGAGATGAGATAGACCACCAGCAAAAAAGTATACTTTCTAACAAGAATTCCACATTGCAATGAATCTCTTTGCACTCTATAGGAGACAAGTTGTACAACTGTTTAATAGCCTGCTAAAACTAGCATTCTGTTATTTTAGGAGGTTACCAATTCATATTTGAGTAAGAGAAGTTATCTGGAAGAAACTGGAAATCTAATATTTTAAGTACAATGTTGATAAAAGCATTCAATGGTGATTTTCTTTTTAAATTATGTTTACATTGTCGTAATGTTTAAGTGCTTGTATATAGTATCTAAGGTGGTGACCCTGTTTTATGTTCTTTGTTTTCTTAGAAACCTGAGCAGACTACTTGGCATTATACATTCAGTTTTCATTCTTGCTGCTTAGAACAGGACGTCGTTAATCTCTTTGTAAATCATGTTCTTGCTCTACAGAATAAGTAATTCGACTTAAGTCCTTTATGTATCCAGGGGGTTTTAATTGCTTTGTGGTAATGTTATTTGGTTATTCTCAGACAAAAATAAAACAACCATCCAAACAACAAAAACCTAACCTAAAAAAAATACCCACAAACCTAGTGGCTTAAATTTAATATAAAACCATAAAATGCGTTTAGACCAACACATAAACTGAGCAAGCCAAGCAGTGTCAGGAGTTTTGCTCTTCTTTCTGTGATAAAAGAGATTTATGTGGTTTCTTTTATTAAGTATGGTAACTCGTTGGAACATGCAGAAATGTCGCTGCATAACAGATACAAAGCTCAGTTTGAAACTTTTATTACTGTTCTATAGGACCTTTAAAGTTGTGTTGCATTTTTCCCCTTTGTATTGTGTAATGACATATATGAAACAAAATATATGGATGCCTCGTCATTCTTTTGGTAGACCATTGTTAAGTCAGACTAATGTGGGGTTTTGATGTAATAAGAAGAAACAAATATTCTGTACTAAATGACTGGAAGGACTTTCTCTTTTGGCTCACCTGCAGATGTAACTGTTGGCTACTTTTGTGTATTTATTTGTGGAGCTAAAGCGATTTTGAGTATGCTGGCTTGCCTGGCCACCTTTAAGCTGCTGTGCAGGCACTGTGGTGTTTCTACATGTGTCTGTGTCACCTTTTACACCCAGCTGTGCACAGGAAATTAACACCACCCTGGTTACAATGGCAGGCTAGTTCTGTAAGCTCTACTCCTGCCCATTGCTGCGGTGTTGCCAGGTTGTGAATATATCGAGCTTCTGAAAGGGTGAAGAAAGAAGAGTTAGCAAAATTGGAACTCTGAAAAATAGTAAATAGAAGATACAACACTGCCGGTTACTTTAGACCTAAAAATCCTAGTGTTTATACTGAAATCATGGCAAGAGCGGTGGCTGCTTGCTCTGTCCAAGTCAGCTAGACATACTGACATTACTCGCTTCCAGCTCGTATTTTCCCATACATTGGGGTGCTGCACCTATGTGACTTTCCCGTGTTAAAACTCTCAATTCGGTTTCAGTCAGCCCAAGCAGATCAGAACCAGGGTGTGAGGAAGGAGCTGAACCTGTTTATTGCAGTGCAGAGAGTATTGCCCACTGTTGCAAAGGCATCTGCTGTGCTATGACTGTGGTCTGCTGCAGGAATACCACAAGAATCAAGCTGTCACTAGAATTACTGAGCAGCTTTCCTCTGAAGCTTGCCAGTCCTCGACTCTCATTGACATTCAGAGGTGCTCAACACTGAGCATTGGGTTTCTCATACTTCATTGCTTCCATCAAAGCCTCTTCTCCTTCTGAGCTGCTCCACTGTCACCTCCTGGCTCACATGCTAGCAAGTAAGAGATAAAAAATGTGTGATTTCTGAGAATGAATGGTGTCCCACTTTTAAATCAGAGAAAGAAATGCCACCGTTGTTAACAGCGCAGAATCCAGTTCTGCAGTAGGAAGGACAAGAGTTATAATTTAGTTGGGTACAACCAACAAGTACCCAGTACTCCAGGTACCAACAGTGAAAATCAAAAGGAAAGGGTTGCACACCTACAGCTGTAGTTCTTTACAGCATTTGCATTGCACTCTGTACTGTTCGTCAGTGCTGAAATTTAGGGGAAGTTTGCAAGGATTAACTCTTGTGTTGATTTCTTAGCCGTGTGTTTACAGAGATAAAACACTGTCAAGGCAAAAGTAAAACCTGATCTTGCTCTCTTTAGGTGTGGCCTTGTCCCCCGCAATATCATCAAGTTAAATAAATGATAGAGGGGCTGGAAGCTTTTACTAGCACTTCCCTCATTCTGTGCTGTCCGTCACTTGAAAACTTCAGGAAAGCTGTGTCACGGTCCAAAACACTGAAAAAACAGACGTTTGGAAAAGCAGCATGTATTTAATTAAGTTGTCAGTCTTTAACAGTCGAAATGGGCAGAGTGCATACCGCAGTTAGATGGTGTTGGCTTAATTAAATTAGTAATTGAAAATAATGAACTCAGGCCTTCTAGAGACCTTTAAGTGATTTGTGGCTTCATTCCCTCTTTAACTAACTATGTATGATTTTGTGTGTGTCCACACAAAGGCATATACATGGATATTCACACAGATTCCCACTGCACTAGTAGCAGTTAACACATGGGCAGCTGTGTGTCATGGGGGACGTAGGTCCTTGCAGGGTAAGGTGGGCCCTGGGACCATCTGCAAGCTTGGAGAAGCAAAGCACTCCCCCTCAGTCTCACGATTTTTCTCACCCCTCTCTGTGCTGGCAGTTTTGCTCACTCGTGGGGTTTTATGTATTTTGCATATGAGAGGATTTTAAAGGTTTGCCAAGAGCACGCACAGGATGGTCCTCTGCAAGTCCTGTGTGTTGGCTTTGGGCTGGTTTTGGGGGGTGGGAGGTTGGCAGGACTGATTCATTGGAGTGCCAGTATTCTAGGAAGGAAACCCTTTTTTATAATTGAAGCCCTAACTTTTGATTTCTCTTGGAGCTCTTTCGACAGCTCGTTTTTGAACAGGATTGTGAGTGACACCTGAGGTGACTTACACATTCACCACAATGGAGTGTGGGTCATATGCACATCACACAGCCCCTCTTGTTAACCTCCTGTATGGATCTTGCAGCACTTTTTCCACCTGTAAAACTGATTTTTCAAAGCTGTGACATCTTCAGCATGACACTGAGCCCTCCAGTCAGTCCCTCATTATAAAACGAGTTTTCTGTTACTTACCAGCAGTACTAACTGGTGCTTTTGCTGTCGACATGAAGTGATGGTTTAAAAAATGCACCTCTTGCTGCAAGGCTTGGCGGTGGTGCCTTGAGCTGCCTGTTTCTTTGGGAAGTTTGGACTGTGTTAAGAACAAGCCATAGGGTCTGCTGAGTTAGGTTGCTTCTTACAGAGCGGGGTGAGGAGGGCTCACAGCTCCTGAGGCTGGGTCCAACCCACATAACCCAGGACCCTCAGCCTCCTGCCAGGTTTTCAGTGGGACCTTTCCCACTGACACCAGTGGAGCGGGTTCAGGTACCGGTGCAGAAGCACCTGAAGGAAAGGGGATCCCAGAGTACCAGACGTAAAGAGCCACCAGCCCATTTGGAAGTGGGGAGTGCATGGTGAATCTCTTCTGACTATACTCTTCCATACACACTTTCCATCTGAACAACTGCTTTCCTATTTTCCAGTCTCATTGCAATGGTAACTCACTGGTCTGAAGCGTTAGACATACTGCTAGGAGACCAGGCAGCTAAAAGACTCACATGCACTGTGCTCACTGTAAAAAATGGCTTCTTATATTGTTTCTTTTTACATGGTTGAAGAAGTGGTTGCGCTTCAGATATTTTCCTTTTTCATTTGTCTTTTTAAAGAGGCCAGGTGTATAGAGGTGCATGTTATCCTGAACTTTGTACATCTTGGTGTCTGATCATCTGCATGGAAGACACAGTAGTGCCATGTCTGAGCTTGTTCTCTTGTGCTTGGTTGATATGAACTTCTCTAGATTGTTGCGTTTTCCCCAAAATAACCTTGGTTAATATTTAGTTATTGGGACACATCAAAGCAAACCATCGTGGTGGCCCTTTGTTTTCTTACGGTTTAAATACAAACAACAAAGCCTTGTGGTTTCAAGTTAATTTGTTAGTGTAAATAAATTTCTTGCCAATGAGTGTTGTTGTTAGACAACGAATGCAATAAAATGAGAAATCCAGAATCTTTATTAGAATTTGTATTGAGTCCTCACTTTCCTGCCCCTGGGCATACCAGGAGAAATAACACTGGTGAGCACAACTGGACAGCTGTTGCTGCATGGGTTATAAGGGGGGGTGAAGGGGGATATGGACCTTGCCCTGCTCGTTCTTTCCTTCCTTCTGCTCAGTGCTGAAGATTAGTTTAATCCCAGCTCTTGGCTAAATTGGCACCATTCACAGGCCTCCAAGTGGGTCTCATTTACAATCTGTAATTATGTAAAAAGTAGTAAAAAAGACAATACAGTAGGGAAAGGGAATGGCCTTCTCTCTTCATCTGCAGATAAAAAGTAGTGTGCAGTAAAAATAGGCTGCCTTCACACAGATGCTGGTCCATGTTTGTCTGTTCAAAAGACCTGGATTAGTTATGGTATATTAAAACATTTTACAGTTTTACACTTAAATGTAGGTTAGGTATAATGGCCATTTTATACGTTCAAAGAACAGCAGTTCTTCTGCTAAGCATGTTTAATACGTCTTTGTTTATTTTATTTTATTAAAGCATTAACTTGGAGAAAGCAGAGGGCACAGATTGTCCAATTTGTGTAGTCATTTCAGTGGCTTTGCATCTGGCAGAATCTAGGCCAAATACTCGTCTGCACTTAATCTCTCTAACCCAGTCTGTGCTTCCCAGCAGCGGAGCCATAAAGCTTACATTCTGCTAATATGGGTACCACCTTAATTATTATCTTAATTAAAATAGGTATGTTAAGGGCTGTTAAGTCCATGACTGGCTTGTAAAGTGTGTCTGCTCAGCAGCTTCCTAAGCCTGGAGCTGTCTATACATATGTCCCCGTTGTGTGTGCAAAGTGGTCTCAGATTCCTGCAGTTTGGTGTCTGAAATGGCCAGAACTGCTCCAGGCTCTACAGTTCGTAAAAGATGATGGGTTATGCTTTCCTCCAGGCTGCAAACCCACATTTGCCCTGTGCAGGTCACCTTGTCATTGTGAGGCCAGGCTTGAGGCGCATCTTCCTCCATTGCTGTTTCCACACTGAGACTGATTGATGGTGAGTTTCATCAAGTGGTGATTTCATGCTCAGGGGTAGAAGCTCTGCCCAGCACTGATTTTGCTGCAGAATGCATGCTTGCTGTCTGTGTCCTGCCCAGTACCATCTTCATGCATGCTGGCTCAGCTTCAACTCCCAGTTCTGCACTGCGAGGCTGGGACACCCTTAAAGGTTGACAACAGGCTTCCAAGCTACTTGCCTCAGGTTAAAATTCAAAATTTTACCATTAGCAACAATTATTACTATTAAAATTATCAAAATAATTTTAAAAATACTATTAAAAATTTTGCTATTAGTAAAAATCACAGTGGCAGCAGGTACTAAGTCCTACCTATGATCTCTCTCTTCTCAAACGCTTTAGGAAAAGGCCAATCGCTTGCATATGTTTCTGTCTGCAGGCAGACTGCTGGGAAAACCTCCACTACAGGAATGGTTTAAAAAAGAGGGGAAAAATAAAAATCCAGTGACAAGTGAAAACATGATTTTCTGAAAGGCCAAAACCCAACAAAAAAGTAGAAGGTTGAAAGATCCAACAATGTGTAGATTTGCTCTCCTGAAGATGTTCGAAGCTACTGGAAAATGTGAAATTAATGCTTTGATGGGTTACTTCTACCACTGCTGAGGGAAATGCTGGTTGTTATGTTTCCACAACCACAGAGTAAACCCAGGACCAGCGGAGTGACCGGCTGGTATTTCAGCTGTTACTGCCACTGCTGCAAAACTCCAGTTCTTTAGCAGGTGGCACTTGATTTACTTGAGAACAAATAGTGGCAACAGCCTAATGGTTATTCTAAAATGCTAGTATAGGATGGCTAATCACAAACAAGTTAATAGTCCATTCTCTCCTTATTGTGAGAGCTTCCTTCAGGGCAGCTTTTCTGCTTGGGCTCTAGGAATAAGATCTGCTCCTCGAGGCTGAACACGGATTACAAGTTCCTGTAGGAAAGCGCATCACTTCTCAGGGAAGCTGAAAATGTCCTGCAGGGAGAGAAGTTGCTAAGGAAGGAGCAGCAAAGCCAGAACTACGGTAAATTCTGTTCTCAAGTGCTTGGTGCACTCAGCTGATGCCAAAAGCAGGTCCAGCAAAGCCACGAGACAAAAGACGCCCTCATTCAGGGCCAGCTCAGCTCTGTGGAAGGGCTGTCTGCATGTCATGGTTAGCAAAAGACTTGAAACCACAATCTGAACAGATGAGTCCCTGTCACCAGAATCTTCATAGGCACACAGTGAACCCTGGGCAGCCCTCAGGTCCCCACGATGACTGTGGGCATTTTGGAAGGGAGCTACAAACAGAGTTTGTATACAGACCTGCCAATGCAGGGCCTTGCCCAAGATACAAGGTCACTTGGCTCACCTGGCTGCATGGTTAACCCTAATGCTCAAGTCTGCCCCTCTAGCCAGCACTAGACCCCTGCAGCATGTGCTATTTGTAGTCAGAACATCACAAATACCAGCACCACTCTTGTGCACGGTGAGAGCTGCCTGGCGCGGCAGCAGTGGGAAGCTGCCGCCATCAGGAAGGACGCAGTGATCAAGCTGACGTGCCGCTGGCCCAGTTCTTGAACCTCTCAGAACAAGGGACGTGCCTTACACCAGTGTCTGTGCCTGTGAGCCAGCAGCGCGCGGGGGCTCTGCCTGGAGCAGATACTCTCCAGGGACGGGAGGTGATGTGGCAAGACCCGCAGCTCACTGCAGCTGTGCAGAGGAAGGGGGATGGCACTGTCCCTCTCACACAGAAATGCAGCCCCAGCCACGAGCTCTGGCACTGACTCCTTGCTCTGGTTAGAGCTGTCCCTTTGCCTAGCAGAATGAGCAGGAACTCCTTATACCAGTGGATGAAAGGCATTAGGCTTGTATTCGAAAGGCACGGTGCAGGAGCCAAAAGGTGCCAGCACACACTGTTCAGGGCTACTGCTCACCCAAACCTTAGCCCGCAGTCATGCCTCCTCTCAGCCAGAAGACCCAAACACAGGCGATGGTTTGCACATACTCTGGTTCCTGTCTCCATGTTCAAGCTGCTACAGAACAGGTTATTTGCAGGTTATTTATCTTGCAGGCAGAAGCACTCCTGAGTTTTCCAAATACTGGACTTCCCATGTACTCTTCAGATTAGAAGGTGCTGTGGCTGATGGTGAAGCACATTGCAGGAGGGAACTGCAAAGCTAGAACATCAATCAGCACCCAGGAACTGGCTCTTTCTCCTCCTGAGCTCACACTTCACAAGCAGCCTGCCTTTTTTCTCCACGCAGGAGTGAAAGGACAGCAGAGAGGAAGGATGCAGAGGGAATGGTGGCTCCCAGGGAAGGTCTGTCCAGTGACATCATTCAGAGAGGCAGCCAAGCCTCTGAGAGGTGACAGCGCAGGCAGCACAGCAACAACCCCAGCAGGGGGGCCACCACCAATGACACCAAGACTTTAGCTAGATGTCAGCATCATAGCAGCCTTCCAGTATCTGAAGAGGGCCTATGAGAACACTGGGGAGGGACTCTTCATTAGGGACTGTAGTGATAGGACAAGGGGTAACGGGTTAAAACTTAAACAGGGGAAGTTCAGATTGGATATAAGGAAGAAGTTCTTTACTGTAAGGGTGGTGAGGCACTGGAATGGGTTGCCCAGGGACGTTGTGAATGCTCCATCCCTGGTGCTGTTCAAGGCCAGGCTGAGATGAGATGGTTTAGTGTGAGGTGTCCCAGCCCATGGCAGGGGGGTTGGAACTTGACGATCTTAAGGTCCTTTCCAACCTAGACCATTCTATGATTCTATGGCGTCTCACAAAACCAGAGCTGCGAACTCAGAGGATGAACAAGAGCAGCAGGAGCTACTCTGTGGGTAAGGGTGTCTATACTAATGCAAGGAAACCAAGTGGTGGCTCAAACAAGGGCTCTGGCCAGACTGGAGTCTTGCTGTGCGTACTGGACAGCACAAAACCTATTTCCAACTTCAAAACTACACAATTCAGTCTATTGCAAGTGATTGCTAACTAACACCATTCTACAATCACCAGCTGATGGAATCCTGGTGAGGTCTTCTAGCAGTGCACAACACTATCAGTAACTGCTGCTGGATAAACATGCAGTGGGTACCTGATGCACAGAAGCACAGGGGGCTCCATGCGGATGGGAGGTTAAACAGAACATGTGTAACCAACACTCGGGGGTTGTCGCTGTGGCAAAGCACCCAGAAATGCTCCCTGTGCTGTGACAGACACCAGTAACTGCGAATGCACTTTTCACTGAAGGTGCCTGGGAGTTGTTCCCCACTCTTTAAGAAAAAAAGGGCTTTTTTAAACTCCCTTTGGGCAACTCAGTAAGAAACCACTCCCAAGTGGCACCCTTTTCTTTCGCAGTCGGATTAAGACAGATTTATGGAACTGAAGTGATGGTGGAAAATACCTTGAAGGGGGAAGAGGGAAGAAATGAGACTGAAGTAACATTTATTCTCCTTTCAATTATTTCAGAAGCATTAGGGAAAGCTGACAGGAGGATCTGGAAGAAGAACCCTCAGCACAGTGCCAGGCCAGTGGTCGGTGACAAGAAAGCATACCACACTGGTAGTCAGCAATTCTCATTTACAAAATCAAGTTTTCTCTGGGGGAAAAAAAAACAACAAACAAAATCCACAACTCCAGTAGCAACAGATAATTCAGTGTCTGATAGTCTAGCCATCTGTACTCTGAACTTGAATTTCTAGGTTACCCTTTGTTACCGGCATGGGGTCCTTCCCATTGCACAAATAAGCTAATTCCTCACCTTCAATTTTCTTGACTATTGCATAGAACTCTTATTTTGGAGAGGAAGACTAAGATACATTTCCATGACTCTAGTTACCTTTATTGGAACAGTCTTCTTGTTAGCAAGTCTATCAGAGACTAAGTGAGTTCCCAAGGAACTAAATCCTTCCCGCTTCAGCAGATCTTACCGCAGCGAGCTATAGCTCACAGTAGAGAGCTCTGTGGAAGACTGTGCCGATGAGCAGTTTTCCCTCGTAGATGGATGCCACGGAGCTTCCCTGCAGCACGGAGCCATTGTCGGCATAGACGCGTGTCACCACAGGCTCTTCTGAGAGGATGTTCTGGATGCGCAGGACCTGCCGGAGGAGGGGGATACAGCTGCTGAGACAGCCGCAGGTGAGAATTCTCCATGGATGGAGGGCACATTGGTATGTTAACTTAAAGACACGGGTTACGTTGATCAGCTGCTGCTAACTGCAGCCACGAGATCCCTGTTACAGGGATACAGTTCTGCTCCAGTGAAGCATGGTCCCTGAACACTGATTATTATTTTAAGTGGTTGCGCAACAACAGAGACTCCACCTCGGTATGTAAGCAAGACACTAGGAATGTGCTGTTTTTCCAGCCTAAGAGTTACTTAATACCTTCTTATTTTCATGCTTTTTTCAGAGAGTAAACAACTGCCTGGTACCATAAATCTACTGCTATGGAACATGATAGTTTTGAAATGCGTCTTACGGGAAGCCTCAGCCAAGGCTGAAATCAAACAGGTACCAACCAGCCACCTGTAAGAGCACTCTGATACCAGTACCTCACTGATTTCAGAAGGAAAGAATTACAGTGTCACCTACTGATGAGCCACACTTGCACAGATAAATCATTCCAGTGTGAGTATTTCTGGTCACGCTTTGTACTCAGTCAACTACTTTTTGTTTGGAAAGAGGTGCTGGCTCGGTAATTACTGCTCATCTAAATGTGATTGCCCAGCCAAAGCCGCACATAAAGCAGCCCGAGGAGTCCAGAATGACTCAGCTACTGTGTGGAAATTATTCAGTTGTCTCCTGAGGATCTGAATAGGTGTTTGTTAGTGGATAAACGTTGTTCCGGCTTTCCATTTGAGAGCAGAAGCTGTAAGCTGGAGGACAGCTTGGTCTTTGCTTTCACAAAGGCTGGGCAGGCACTTCTCTGCGTAATGCAGAGTTAAGTTATACCAGGGTGATTTGAACAGAGCAACTTTCTGGCACAGACATAGCCAAGAGACCAGCGACGTTTCACAAAAGGCACCTCAGAAGCAGGCAGATTTTCAGGATCGTAGTAGAGGAGCTTCATCCCATTGGGATGACATCCTGTCCAGATGTCTCCAGTGGATGGGTCAACAGACAAATTATCGACCAGAGTGTCCAGCTGCAGCTTCTATCGAGCACAGAGGCAAAACAAGAAAAGGGGAGTTAAAGCTATCAGAGGTCCTGGAAGCAAACTACAACGTGACCAATAGACTCGTCCAAGACTCTCATCTGACATAGCTTAGACTGAGTTTTTAAGAAATATTTTCTCCCCCCACCAAGTGCTACATTTCTTTTCCCCCTGGGTGCTTCATCCCCCTTTCTGTGCCATGAGAAACCTGCTTGCTGCTCCCCCATCGCCTCATTCACACCCACACTTGTGTTGATTACTTCAGTCAGAGCTTTGTGTTTTGACCCACACTGGCTTAGCCAGACTCCCTCTGCAGATCTATAAGCACATCCGAAGATCCCTCTCTGGTTGCTGGTGTGACTTCAGGAAGACCTGAAGCTGTTTAACGGGGCACACAGCACCTCTGCAAACCCACAGCAGGAGCCACCCAGACTGGAACTGCACACGGACCAGGTTGAAAGCGCTCATGGGGACTAATCTGTCCAAAATTTACATGTGCCTTTTTATTAATGGAACAGCAGCACCTTACCTTCACATAGGTTAAACTCCAATTTGCATGTTTTTCCATAACATGGACATTATGATCAAATATATCTGCAATGTAGATGAACCTTCAAAAGAAAGCACCTCTTAGCAATGTGTATGAGTAAGGAGACACCAAAACCAGCCAGATCCTCCTGTGCAAGCCCAGCTCTTCCCATGAGGAATGCCAGCTTTCAGCTCCCCTGCAGCAACAGATATTGCAAGCAGGCCACAGGGCACTGAACTGAAGCCAACCTGCTGAGACACTACTGTAGCTTCAGACTGTGCCAGTTCTTCCATTACAACTCTGAAGCAGACCTTGGACTGTGAGATCCACAAATATGCTGGGGTTTTAATTCCAATCACCTATCTGCACCTCAGCACTGGGTACTTCTCAGTCATGCAGACTTCAACACTGCGGAGTTCCCCACTTGGCACAAACCCTGCTTTGTTAATCCTTGCAAGCAATATACACAAACTGCTGTACTGGCTGGTTCAAATGCAGCAACCTTTGACCTTACTGCATATAAACCACCTCGCAAAGCAGCAAACATTGCCGTTAGTTGAAGCCTGAGACACATGACTTCTGTCCTACAAACCCTCCGTATCACTTACATTGTACAGGCAGCCCCTTGCCTTACATGAGCCACTTGATACACTTGACCACAGAGGTACTGTGTGTACAAACTAGGATTTAAGGATTCTTTTGTGTGATCAAGCAAAACCTAAGGTAAGGAGACACTTACTTTCTGTCAGGTGAAATGTTAATTCCATTGGCTGAATAAAACCCAGCTGCTACTTCTTTCACTTCTTTAGGACTGTAGTAAACAACATTTGACCAAGTTAAACCCAAGAACATCTCCAAGAACATCAAGACGAAGTCGGAGAAATAGTGGTCATTGGTAGCATAGAAGCTGTCTGGTCCCACAGCTACCACATCATTCACGCTAAAAGAAATAAGAAGGGAGGGAGAAAAATCAATAAAAGAATGAAGTGAGAGGTACGAAGGAGTGTTTTAGGATTGCCCAGAATCCAACCATGGAAGACATGGTCATCCTATAAACGTAAAGGGGCTGTAATTACAGACGCTTTATACAGACATATATATATTTACATCCTTTTTACTTCTATTTTCTTTTTAGATGACCCAGGACTCTGCAGGGCTAAGACCTGAACAGGACTATAGGGCGTCAGCTAGAAATTTGGCTACCTGTCCATAAATCCATGGAAATTCTTCTCTCTTTTGATTACATTCAACTGGGAACCAGAGAACAGGTAGGAGTTGTGACAACTTCACCTACTGGGCTCTGTTTATTTTAAAATCATTTTGCAGTAGTACAGACCAAGAAAATTTTGTGTGCCACAAAACAAGAAGATAAAAGTATGTTTGTTTTCACAGTGTGGCAAATTCAGTATAATAGAATATCTGAAGAGTCACATCTGCAATGACCTGAGACTGGGTTACATGACAGAAGGAGAAATGGATGCCAAGCTAATTCACTGCATCAATCACAGTGGCACTTAAGTCTGATTTAGTGATACAACTAGTAAAAATCTCATTTACAGAAGAGATTGGAGAAACACATTTTTTGATTACACAGATAAGAAGCAATCAATGAGAGAAACAGGAAAGCTGGTTAAAGAGAAAGCACCTCATATTAATAATACCCTAAGACCAAAATCATCCTACTTTGGGTTTTACCAAAGCAGCCTTGTTCTTCTGGGCGAAGATAGTATTTGGCTCCAGTACCTTGTCAGAAGGTCATGTCGAATGGTTTTCAGGTGCACAAGAGAATTGTCATCTTCCACATATTTAAACAACTCTATTGTGCTCTTCTGATGGGGATGGTTCACAACAAAGAGGTACACGGTGTCATCTTAAAGAAAGAAATGGAAACAGCTGAATTCTCTGCAACAGTTTGTATGGCTGGGCACACAGAGCCCTGAAGCAGACTCTCATACACAGCACATGTTGGGTTTGGTGCACTTGTCTCAGGGCTCTTCAAAGGAAGGACAAGTACCAAAGTAATGCAGGATGCCTCTGCAACTGGGTCCAGATGTCCAGATACTCTTCCTCTGGGCTCACTCTAGCGGGAACTGCTGTGTAAACTATGTTTGCTATTTCTACCAAGGAAGAAAGAAATCATGGCTTCCTCCTTGTGCCCAAGCCACTAGGTTTTGTAACCTGACGCACTACAGTGAGTGGCTGCATGAAATAGCAGCAGTCAGCTGGGAAGGAGGGCTTGTAGCCCAGACCCTTTGGGCTCTTTGGTTTATTTACCTCATCTCTTGAGAATGCTGAAGGAGCATCCTGCTCCCATACCCTGTGTAAAGCTGTAGTTCTTCTGCCCCGCCCTTCTAGATAAGCCACCACTGATTTCTCCAACACCTTCCCTGAAAGGGTGACTGTACAGGGACACAGGTAAAGCTGCAGCAATGGTTCTCTTTAATCTCTTAAAGTCTGCAGACTTCTAGTTGCTCTGCTAAAATACCCAGTGAAGAACAGGGCAGGGGAAAAGAGAAGAAGGAGAGCATGAAGGAGATATCTTACTGGCAGTCAGAGCCTGCCATAGGAAAACATGTCTTGGAGAGGAGAACGTGGCTTAGCAACAGAGTACCAGGGATTTTGGTCATGTACAGAGAATTGATAATTTACTGTTTAGCCACAGAAGTCTTCATTCTGGTCACTACTCATCAGTGAAGCACATGTCTCCACAAAACCCTTGCCCCCAGGGTAAGACAGATGTAAACTGGTTTGAGCTGCTTTCAAGTCCTCAAACTTAAACCCACATTTTCTTTCCTTTTAGTATACAGAACATCCTTCTGTCTCAGACAGCCTTAGATTACGTTCGAAGGTGTTTGCTTTAGTAGCCAACATCTAGAAAAGAGCCCAACAAAGATAAAAACCCCAAAACCTTCTTCTCTCCCAGCAAGCACAGGATATTGGAGTGCAATGCAAGGCTGCAAAGGGATTTCTGCTTGTGCTCTTTAGGCTGAGATTTGCCACCACCTCAAGCTAAAGATCTCTTTACCTTTGTCTACGTAGGTGCTGATTCCATGAGGGTTAAAGGATGCCAGATCAAACCCTCGGCTGATTCTCAGTTCCACTGCTCTGGGATTGTCTTCATTCAAATCCATCAAAAATATTTCACCTGGCTTGTCTGGTGCAAAGCTCTTTATTCCTGGGTATTTCAAGCCCTGTAAAATCAATATAATTCCTGGATCAAAGGTAACGGGAAGCATCACAGGGCTGAAAACGCTGGAGCCTTGTTTGGGCATGCAAGCACGCACCAGGATGTCCCTCTGCTTCAGCACACCATGCCGTGATGGAGATAGAGGGACTGGCTCTGCTCCCTTTGGCGAGCCCTGAACTGCAGCCCAGAGGGAGCAGGCTGTGTGGGGAGCACAGTGTGCCATGCCCAGTGCACCACCAAGCACCTGCGTGGGTGCTCCTGTGTGCCGACCAGACGGCAGGGACAAACTGGAAGTACGGCACCACCAACTGTGTCCAGCGTGGTAAAGCCATGGAGGAACAGTAGCAGTGTGACAGCTCACAATTTCTGACATGAATTTGGAACATTATAATTCCCTGGGTTATCCCTGGAACATGTAGCTCAAAACATCAGCTTTTGTTTTAGAAAGTAACCGCTAGCCATCCTGATTGCAAAGAAAAGCTTGAAAACCTACTTCCCAGAGGCTAAAAAGAAAACATCGGGAACAACCAAATCAATACACATAATCCAATTTTTTTTAAAGGTAGCGAGTTAACACACCCTAACAAGGGATACTTCAAGGAAGCAACGTGGAAGGAATTCAAGGTTACACGGACAATTAAGCCAGCACAATAGGCTACATGTGTCAGAGCCATCACCACCACTTGTGTCAAGAAGTGGACTTGCTCAAGCAGAGGCCAAGCTAAACTGAGTCACGAAATGCCACCTAAGGTCAGGCAGATTTGGGCTGTTCCTACGGAGCCAGACAGTCCTGTAGAAGAAAGAGTCTATCTGCAGTTTTCACCTACAGCTTCTGTAGATAAGGAAGCAGGCAAATCCCTGCGTGGGGAGGGGGCATGGGCACTTACGGAGCTGATGAAAGCCAGTCCATTGGGAAGTATGTCAATGTCTTCAGAACCACTTTCTGCAAGACAGGGATAAGCAGGATTTTTCAGACAACATTAAGTATTTCCCATTGAAAAAAACACCGTTATAGTACAATTCCAGCTCTCATGAACATCGTGATGAAGCTCAGCAGAAAAGATCACATTGCATAAGAACTGGCAGCAGAAGGCAGCAGCACACAGATTAGGAAACAGTACTGGGGTTCACCTCTTTCTGGGGCTTAAGGGTGCCCCCACGGTGCCCAGTCTCTCAGCCAGCTCCGCGTGCCCTGTGGCAGTGTGGGATGAATCACCCCCTTCTGACAATAGTGTTCTGCAGCAAGCAGTGCAGAGGATGAGATTTCCAGGGCAGGACCATACCCATCACTCAGCCTACATGCTTGCATAAGGCAGCTCTGGGAATTGCACACACTAATTCTTCCAGCTCAGCTGAGAAATTTCACTAAGATGGATTGCCAAATATTTAGTTAAAGCTCTCAAGTGACTCAGAACCTACTATATCTTTAACAGCTAAGGGCTTTAACAATTAGACCACACTTTTAATTGCAGGTAGTAATTTCCAGTATTGTCAGTTCCTGTAGTTCCTGTAATAGTTTTCCCTGCTAGGAATTATAAAATAAAGAAAATAAAAGTAAACCAAATTTTAAAAATTAAATTAAATTTATAAAATAAAACAAAATATAAAATATAAACTATGAACTATGAACTATAAAATATAGACTATGAAATATAAAATTCTTTAGTAAGAACACTAGAACAACTTTAGGCCTTGACCAACCATACACATACTACACAGAGCTTTTAGTCTGGTGCTGAAGTACATTTGCCATCCTACATTTTTGCCACTCTCCTGAGAAGCCTACCCTTTCTTCTCCAAATCACCAACACAAACAGCATCCCCCCACAAGCCACCTTCCAGACAACGGCTGGATTAAATCCAACCAGAGCATTTGCTTAAAGGAGGAAATAAAACTGTTCTGCCTGTTTTCTTTAACAGAGCTGCCAGCACAAAGGTTTTCCACCCAGCCTGTCCCATCTCTTCGCATCCTCTCTTGCTTGGTCATAGAGCACCTCGGCACCTCCTCCCAAGGAAGTGCCTTCAAATTCGAGCTGGTTTACTATTAGCTCTTATGAAGCCCTTACTTATCCCAGGCTAATTCTGCTAGGCTGTAATTCATCCTGGGGACACCAAACAGCCCTTGTGCAGAGGAACCAGATCCCCAAATTCGCCCACCCAGGCAAGTCCTTCCCCAGCTCAACTCTGGTGACACATGGTGTCATGACTTTTGCTGTACGGAGAGGGGACAGGGCTAACTCCCCCTCAGCCTCAGCAAACCCCTACTCCACCCCACTACACTAAAAAGCAGAGCATCTCTGCCTTTGGAAGAGCAAAGGTCTGAAGATGCATTTTGAGTGGGAGCTGACCCGGGTTTGTGTCCTGAATTGTGCCTGGGCTCAGGCAGGAGGCAGACACATGCACTGACGTGCCAAGAGACACTCAGAACCTGCATTTTCCAACTAAAATTTTGAATTTGGGTTGGTTTTTTTTCAGCTTAGCTCACACCCTGGCTTCAGCAAAGAGCTCCTTTTCTTTGCCCCAGCTCTTGGTCTCTCCAAGTCTGGGCTCATTTATAATACAGGATCAGCAGCAATTCCCCACTTCTCAGGACTGCTGCAAAGATAACAGTATCAATAAATGCTGAGATGCTCAACTGCCACGGTGACATAAGCTGGACAGACAGCATTTACTAGCAGAGCACTCTGGTGACTGAATAAACAGAGATATAAAAGAGATATAATCATTTATGGCTACTGAATTAGTGAGGCTCCAAGCGGAAGGATGAGCAGGCTAATTGGGAGCAGATACTTAAAACCCACAAGTTTCTGGTGGAAGAGGGATAACCAGAGCCCTGCACCCAACTACTCTGAAAGAAACCGCCCAGTAAAGTACATTTTGGCCACTTCTCAGCCACGTCCTTGTCTGCGGGAAAGAGAGCAAGCACTGTTGGAAGAGCAGTGAAATGCTGATTCAGCTCCATCCTAGTGAGCTGGCACTGCCGAGGCAGCAAGGAGGGGAGGGAGACACACAGTCGGACACAGGGAAGCTCCCGGGCTCTCCCTGTGGGCCCCATTTTGGGAGGGCTCTCAGCTGCTGTTTTAGGCACTATATGGGACAGGAGAACTAAGACCTGATTTATGAGGTATCCCTTATCTACACTGTACTGAGAAATTGTACCACTGAGATACAATCCATGGGATTATCTGAGATGTTTTAAAAAATAAAGATACCAAGAAAAATTACTGCCTACCACAGAAATGTCTGGGGCTTTTCTCCTCTTCTGTATTTTATCTTAGTATGATGTATTCCACAGGTGCATCTGACAATAAACCAACCTAGATTTCATGTCCAAAAGTAAATGACTTTCACCTATATGCCATGAATTACCCTAAGATGCAAGTATTTCCAGCAATTTTTAGAGCAGCTTCTTCAACTTTCGGAGTTAGTATGGTTATTTTATCATAAACCAGTAACATGGTTAGACACCAGTAAAATCAGAAGATACTGTTCATTCTACAAATACAGACTTTCCTACCTATTTGTGAAATGAGGGTTAGGACAAGCTGCACTTTTTTATTGGTTTGTTCAGTGTTTGCATCTGTGCTTACACTGCACAATATTCAAAAAGCAGAAGAGATCAAAGTCTTAATAAATAGTGATACAGAAAGGATGGAAAAGGGTACACTAGAGAATTTTCCTACCTACTCTGAGTTTGCTTGCTTTACTATGGATGCATTGCTTTTAACATAATTGTACTCGGCTGCACCAGATTCCTGTTCTTTTATATACAAAATGGATACTCCAAGATTATTTTGTTCAGAGCTGATCGAGCTCATTACCTATGTCCCACTTAACAGTTCAGAAGGACTGTTTTAAACATAAAAACAGATTTCTTTATTCAAGAAAAAGGCCCAGGAGGCCAAGATATCCATGTAGAAAGATATCTTTACACAAAGTCACCCACAGGAGCAACCTTACATAGATGAGTACAGCAAACCCCCTCATCTGAACAGTGCTACCTAGGCAGGATCCAGACTTTAGGGCTTCTTGGTCTCCCTGGGTAATATAACCCCTTTACCCACAGTAAATGAATTTTGGAAGACATTTGCATGAACACGCAACTCTTAAGTTTCCACAAATCCTTTGTTATTTGTCTTTCCACTGAATTATTTTTTGTCATTTTAACTTTTCTGAGGAGCAGCAAACAACAGAGCAAAGGCAAGGCAAGGTGCAGAGCTCCATATGAAGGGACACTGCTACGAGAGCCCAGCGGGAAGCAGAAATGAAGCTCTGTAAATTGATCCACTGCCACCTCTGAGCACAGCCGGGTTCTCAGAATTCACCTCATCTCCATGTAAATGTCAGCCACCAAAAATGAGATACAGTCTGGAAATTAAACACAACTGTATTAGCGATTCCCAGCTTTCCTTCTTTCCTCAACAGGGCAATCATGTTGCAAAAAGTCTTGTAAAGACTGCAATAGTGAGACGCTTAAGCGAATTACTCAGAAATTATTTTTATATTAATCACCATCACTGTTCAGTCTCTTGTACGGGTAAATTATAGCTCAATCCAGAAGACCTGGAAAGTTTTTTCAAATGCAGTTTCTTCATCGCACAGCCTCAGGCAAAGGAACTCTACTCATGCTCATTCACGGCAGTAATTTGACTTTGCAAAGATGTTTGATACCTGACATAAAGAAGAAGCAAGATTTATGAAATCAACACAGTACTCAGCAAACTCAAAGGCAAATCTCACCCCATGACACATGCAAAATCCAGGCAAATTTCAACAGAGTTCAAGACATTTGAGAAAATATTAAGGAAGAGAAAACCCCCAGCTATTAAACCTGTGTTAAGCTCAAAAATTAAAATTTGGAGGAAAGGGAGACACAAATAAGTTATGAATTGTGAAACTATCCATTTGATACTCTGGTTATCCTAAAGGAAAAGAAAATCCAAACTAGAAACATCGCTGTGTGCTGAACACATGACCCACAGTACAAAGTCAACATTTCAGCCACTGTGTTAAACCTCTTCGCAAACCATACTAAGAAGTCAAATATGACCCCTTGCTCTTGGAAACCACGCAGCTGCATTGCACAACTGCACCGAGCTCCTGCCTGCTGTTTGCATGGGGTGGCACCAGTCCGCTCCTAAATCTCTGCAAAATGAGGCGCTAAGGCAGGGGATCCTGGTCGGCATTTACCAGCCTCTCCTTTGGCACATGCCTGAGTCCACTTCCGAAAGCTTCCACCCTTGCAGCATGTCCTGGCTTCAATCTGTCACTAGCTGACAGCCACCTGTAGGTGCCCGCCTGAAGAGCTAGCACACCCTCACCTAAAGCCAAATAATTTCCTGAGTGCCTTAGCAAAGGACAGGTGTGTGCAAGGTACTCATTTGCAAAGACATGGAGCAGAAATGCAAATACCAAGGGCAAGAAGTGCTATACCGAACTAGCTAGGTTTTCAATACAGTTTTCTTCCCGCAGTTTCTCCCTACCTCAAAGTCCAAGTAACAAATGAAAGCCAAATTTGCGCTTTCTTTTGAGGATCAGGCTTGGAAGCTGGCTTTCAGAAGCAGTTGCAAAATAAGGCTGGACAAAAGCAATGCACTCGGTTATTTTCAGCACGTACCAATCCCTTTAATGAGCCGGCAGTTCGGGAGGGTTACTGGGGCTATTTCCCGTGAAGCATTGAGCCTGTTCCTGCAAGAGGAAAGAGCGGGGTTAACAGCCAGTTTTAGAACAGGTAACATTCCTAGCATAGCTTTAACCTAGTTTTAATGTCTGCCATATCACAGCGACAAAACAGCCAGTAAAACACTGAATAAGCAAAACCCAGAACTGACAACAGCAATTGCTCCAAATCACTGTGATGGCTACACATGTGCAGGGATTAAGTGGTTCTCCTACACTGAGTAACTTCAGGAACTTGACTTTGTTCGTGAGCTTCACAAACAGTCTTTCAAGACCCGCTGTGGTTCAAATGATAAAATAACATAGCCACTCTTTCTTCAGGTTTCAGCCACCTAAATATAGCAGCACCCCACAGTTAGAACCAGCATTTCAGATGACGAGAAGGCGACCTTCTACCCCAACCCACCAGCTATTTTTGGTGGCCAGGCCACCAGCAGTTGTGCTTTCTTCATTTCTTAGTCCACATTCAAATGCAACGATAGCATTGCTGCAAGGCAGCAACCACAGGTAGGACTTGGTTGATAGTACGACTTTCAGCAATTAACCCTGTCCCATTCTTTTCTCTCCTGGTACCCACCCAGAGCATCAACCTTCAGCAGTGCTAAATGCCCACAAAATCTGACCGCTGGCTCACCCTTTACTAGACAAGCAGATACAGACAGGTAACTACACATGAGTTTCTATTTCTCCACCTCCTTCATTCCAAATCATATACAATTCTACATGAAAGGCACCTCACCACCAGAATTGCGGTGTTTGACCATGCTGGTCTGCAGTGCCATAAGAAAACGTGTTTCTATGCAAAAATGTCAAGCTAGCATACTAGAACATTTCTTCCTTTTTTTTTCCCCAAAAGAAAGCACGGAACAGTTGTTCCTTCACATGCCTATCATACACACGTGTTGAGGCTGTACTTGCTCCAACCACAGGAAATTCTGAATGCAAAGATCCCATAGCAAAACATAGCCATGTTTATATTATAGTTTTAGGCATAAACATAAACTAAACAGCAGTATCAGTCTGTGGTATGAAAAATATGTGATACAGCTGAGCACTGTATGGTATGTCAGCCCTGAATGGTTTTTAATCACTTAATTATGAATTGTAAATTGCTTCAGTGCTGTACCACGGACATAGGTTCTCTAACATAAGGCCACAAAAAAAGGAAGAAAAAGGGTAAAAAGGGCAGAGGACAGCAAGGGAAAGGAGCCAAGTTAAACTCTCCCAAGCCCTCTCCCGCAGCTCAGGAGCCCCGACAGAGAAGTACACTGGCTCCCAGCCCACAGGCAGCACAGAGGGGATCTCAGCTCCCCCCCTCACCCCCGTCTGGCACAGTCAAATCTACTGGGCCTCAAGGGTGGCTTGGGGTGATCACGCCCTGAGTTTGCACCGCTGCCTGCTTAGGGCTTTTCCCTTTCCTATTTGCTCCAGCTTTTCCTGGGCAGACTGCAAGCCACGCAGAGCCAAAAGCACAGCAGGAACTCAGCCAGCAGCCAACAAGGGATGATGATATCCCAACAGCATTCCCAGCAAAACACTTTATGGGCTGGAATGAGAGTTATTCAAAAGGACGCTGGTCACAAGCCTGGAGCATATAGAGAGGCTTTTCCAAAATGTGACAGTTTATCTAGCTCAGCCAGCCTCAGCTCCTAAGCCAGATGGCCTAGATAACTAACTGGCCATGCTAAAAACACAGCGAACCTGCAAACTGTGGGGCATGCAACTCCAAAAAAAGCAGGAATTTTGCTACTTGGTGCCACCCCAGTGCACGGCACCTTTTCCCACTCAGCTTCTCTTTCCAGTTTCAGTCCTCCACTGGCTGTCCTGCTTCGTGGGGCACAGACCACAGCCATTCCCTTCCCTTCAGCTGCAACCTGTTGCATATTCAAAGACCTCGTTATCTTTCAGCTTTCCTCTCCTCTAGCCTAACCAGTCCTGGAATCTCTGAGGGGTTTCTCCCCTGACAGGAATGAAAATCACCTCCTACTTTTGTTTTTGCTCCCAACTCTTTTCAAACCGTCAGCATCTTTCTGGAAGCACGTTGCAGTTTTGAACCTAGCATGCAAGCTGAGCTGTATCGGTACACAGTGTTATGAAACGGTAACATTGTGTGCGTAAATATACACACACAGATATGAACAATAACACCATGTGCACACTGAAAAACAGAAACACAGTGTAATTCACATTCAAGATTTACAAATTAGCTTGGACCTTTCTTCAAAGAATTAGAAATATAAAATGCCCAAGGAGGAATCAGTGCAGTTTCAGTTTGTAACACACAGAACTTCACTTGTTTTCTGCTGCACGCACCCTACTCCAGTACATCTGATAGCTATCAACAGTATAATAGGTGCATAAACTGACCCAATATAGGAAGAGCTAAGTTTGTAAGAGATCTGTATCAATTCTTCGAGCTTTTTTTTCATTTCAGGGATTCATGTCATACTATACAGACCCAACATACCAACCTCAGAAGGAACAGCAAGGAGGCTTTGCTGGCTTCCTGCCTTCTGGGGGATGGGTAACAGAGAGGCCTGGCAGGAGTTAACACTACCCACAGTTTCTCCTCCCAAGACTGTGTTAAATGATCATAGAGTACTGTGTGATCTGAAGTTGTGTGTTTCCAAACTCTGCAACCGCCTGAAGACTGCTGCGATGCTGCAGTTTGCTGAAAACACAACACAGTAAAAACTCAAAGAGCTACTGAGGCATGGGGATTCTCTTTCTACCTGCTTTACCAGATTCCCAATATTGCATTTTTTCATTTGATTTGGAGGGGATGTGGGGTCCCTGCTCTTCACAGAGCTTTGAAATGGCTCACACCACTACAGCTTGGGGTGTGTTTTCCAGCTTGTGGAACTCCAGAGCAGGAGGGTCCCGTTACCACCGTGGTTATCACTAATGCTTGAGGTGGATTTCATGCAAGATGTGGACACATCCATGCCAGGTACCTGGGTCCAAGGAGTACAGCCCTACCTCTGTAATTAGCTGTAACTACTATCTACCCAAAAACCAATTAACTGGATGTCACTGCTTTGAAGTCAGGCATTTGGAGTCCTTGTGGACATAAGCAAAATTATAATGGCATAGCTGCCTTGCAACACAATAACTCATCATCACTTTTCTGGCCTGAAACAACCAGCGATGTATTTAGTAGCTTTCAGGAGAGAAGCTGCTCTAACAATGTTCACATTCACACCTCATGATAGGAGGTGTACGATATGGAGCATGATATGGCTGGGTATTTTAGCTCACAGGGAGTGAGGTCCCAACTCACAATCACAGAATTCCATGCTCCTCCAGAGGAAACCTCATGTACACAGGGGCTATTGTTATCCAGAGGCCAGCTTTGAGAGAAAATAGGTTTCTGTCAATCTGATTTCCACATACTGTTTCGCCAGGCGGCAGGAGATGAGGTCAACTTGCGGATACAAGGTTTGGCACAGACCTCTGCAAAAACAGAGGTATCAGCCCCCCTGCCCCAGGGCACCCTCTCACCAGCATCTTCCTGGGGAGGATTTCACATGCCTGTTACCACAATAGGCATTTCCACTGGACAAACGCTCCTGAAGTCAGTTTATGCCTGACAGAGGACGAGAAGAGCACTGCTGAACAAGTGCCTAGTTTTCTCTGGAGAGCGCCGTTTCCCTTCATCCCAACAGTGATGGCAATGATGCCGACGATGAACCCTTTTCCTCTGGCCATAAGCATGTTTGTGCAAGAGCAGCAACTCGTTGAAGTTAATTCCCAGATACGGAGCCGAAGTGCCGAGAAGGGGTGCACCCGTGCGGGCATCCCGCGCCGCTGGCACCGGGGCCCGCAGCTCCAACACCCCGCAGCCCAAACCGCTCGGGGTCCGGTCCCGGCTGCCCGCACCCCCGTGATCGACCGCTTCACCCGGGCACCGCAGCTCGCCCCCGCCGCTCCCGCTCCGGCTCACCGAAAGGCCAGCAGCCGCTCCACCGCCAAGGCCGCCGCTATCCCGGCGAGAGCCACCGCCAGCAGCTTCCCCATGGCCGCCCGCAGCTTCGCGCCGCGCCGCGCTGCCCCCTCCGCCGCGTCCCGCCCCGCCGCGGGGCGCCCCGGGGGCACGGCGCTGCAAACACCGCCCCCAGCCCGCCCCCCCGAGCACAGCCGCCCGGCCCGCCCGCGCCGCCGGCAAGAGCGCGTAGCGTACTCTGCGAAGCCGGCTCTGTCGGGTTGGGGCCCCTTTGGACATGATGCTTGCTCTCACTGTCACGTTCCTACGAACAGCTTCCCTCTCCGTGCAGGAACAGAGCTACGGAGCCCACCTTCGGGGCTCTGGGGTTCCTCCATGCAGCAAGCTGCGTTTGCATCAGCTGCAGCACTGGCCTCCATGTGCTTTCTGCTTTTCGGGGGAGCACGACTTGGTGGGTTGATACCCTCCCTCAGCAGTTATCTTTCCCTCTTCTGCACAGTGAATGCCCACACCTGCAAGGCTCACATTGCTTTGAGCTTTTCTGAAAGACTGAGAAATCACTAAAAAGTGCTTTGCTCTTCTTGTGCTTGTTCTTGGGACCAGGCAGATTCTCCACACTCGGTAACATGTCAAGTAAGGTGTGTTGTGGAAGAGGAGGCACTCTAAAATGCCATTCCCCGTCAGTTTTGGAATACCTCTTTTCTTCTTTCTGGTCCTTGATTATTTTAGAATATTAGGTAGCTGAGAGTTTTCTTGGGGGAAGGGAGTTAGTTTCTCTGTTTGTTTTGCCTGTGCGTACAAATCTCACTAATGAAGTCTGCTTCAATCCTAGAAGTATGTGGCGGGGTGAGTGGGTAGCAGTGTTCAAAGTTTGGGGATATTTGGGATGATAAAGTCCAGTAGCCACTGCTCAGATGCTAGCATTTTATAATGCTGCCAATCCTCCTGTAGCCATGGGCTTTGCCTTCTCTACGAACACTTGTAAAACTTGGTGTCATCTGCAAATTTACTGAGGGTCCGTCTGTTCTCCTTGCCCAGGTCATTGATAAAGATATTAATCACAACTGGCCCCAGTCCTGAGCCCTGAGGAACACCGCATCGACTGCGTTTATCTCCATTCACCAGCACTCTGGGTGTAGTCATCCAGCCTGTTTTGTTACTCAGTGGAGAGTACACGCATCCAAGCCTTGAGCAGCCAGTTTCTCCGTAACAGCGCTGTGGGAAATAGTCTCAAAGGCTTTGCTAAAGTCTTGGTGGAGAACATCCACAACCTTTCCCTCGTTCAGCAAGTGGATAACCTTGTCACAGATCAGGTTAGTCAAGTAGGACAGGCCTTTCATAAACCCATCCTGACTGGTGGTTGTGTACATGCTGCATGATGGCACTCATCTGTTCCATAACCTTCCTGGCATTACGTACCACAACCTTTTCCTCATCCTTTGTCACTATGTTTCCCTGTGGGGGGGGGATGAAGAGGGGAAGAAGACCTAATTCCTACATGACCATTCTCAGGTTCTTCTGTTGTTTCTAACAAATCAATAACCCTTTTGTCTTTGCTGCCACGTGGATTTCCATGCCCTACTTCCACAGAGACGGCAGAACAAAGGGCCTCTCTAGCATGATGTCCATCAAACATCCACATGCTGCCCCCAGGCTTGTCTGTAGCCAGCTTGGTCTTATCCCTTTCCCCCTTCAAATCTAGTTTAAAGCTCTTTCAATGAACCTGGCTAACTCCTGCGCAAAGATCCTTCCCCCTCTTTGAGACAAGGGTACCCTGTCTGTCACCAGCCAGCTTGGTGTTGTGTAAACTGACCCATGATCAAATACCCCAAAATTCTGCCAGCTTACACAAGGATGATTTCTTATCTCAGCTTGCTGCAGCACTGCTTTGCTGGCATAACATTTTTCACTTATTTACACCACAGTTTAATTTGCAAGAGCACATACTGCTTACTGTCTGGGTCTCAATTTTGGCATGAGGTGGATGCAGTTATCTATTAAAATGTAAATGTCTACAAAGAAGATGGAGAAATCAGAGCTAGTCATAAGATTGCAAGAATGCCCCTACTGTGTCAGACCAAGGGTTCATCTAGCTCAACAGCCAACAGATGCAGTAGACAGGAGCATAGGGAAGAGTAAAGAAATGGGGGTGAAGTTGCATAAATCCCCAAGTTTCTTTCCCAGCTACTAATTATTTTCAGCTCAGTATGATCTTTACATATTTAGTAACACTTAACAGATTTATCTTCCAAGTACTTTCCTATCTTCCCTTGAAGTGAGTTGTGCTTTACGATAGTTTCACTGAAGTCAAGCTACCTAGGCACCCTGTATAGTCAGGGCAGGAAAAGTTCCTTTAAGATAGCAATTCACATGAAAGGTGCCTAAAATAGATGGAGAAATCTTCCCTAAGAAGTGGCCATTTCACTGTAAAGGAACCTGCAGTGACTAATTCAAGTGCAGAAATCTGCTGTGTGGATGCCTGAAGGTAGATGGAGTGAATCTCCCTTGAAGTCTCAGCTCATCAAGTCACCCTTGACTGAAGAAAGAGCCTGGGTTTCTCAGCAGCTTACCTCCTCAGCACAATCCCAGCCAGCCTGGGGCCTGCCCATTGGTGCTGTTAGCATCTGCTGAGGTTTCCCCTCCCCAGCACCCCATGGCCTGGCTGAGTGGCTGCAGCAATGCTGGAAAACAACCCACTGGCTGCAGTGAGGTCTGTTACGAATTCTCCTGAGCTTTTTGCCTTTGGGGCACTCAGGAGAGACCTGGGAATTACTTTCTGCCACATAGAATAATGACTAAAAGCAGGAACAGGTTGTGTGCACATAATCAGCTGTGGAGGGAGATGTACAAAGCCTGGGAGCAGAGGGAGTGAGCAGAGGGGGGGGAGACAGGGTAAGTCTTATTCTCATTTAGCTATTTAGACTCCTCTACAGGCAAAGAAAGAAAAGAAGCCTTCTGTAAACATGTACAAGGGGGGGATTTATTGCATCTGGGGAAGCATGGTGAAATAGGACAAATAGCATTCTGTAGATGCCTAGTCTCCCTCCCTCTCTCCCAGCTCATATAAAGGGAAGAGAGACAACCTGCTGGGAAAATAAAAGGTAACATTTAAATGACTGAAGGTAAAGGGGATTTTTCCTACTAAAAACTTTTATATCTGTCTCTTGTGAAATGTGCGCCACTTACATGTGCTTTTCTATCATGTATCAGGATCTTTTTTTTTAAGAGATAAGATACAGAAGATATGTACACACAGGTTTGGATTTCACAGCAAACTATTTCAAAATGCATCATGCTTGAGGCATTAATGAGACACAATGTATTTTACCAAACAAACTTCGAAAAAGCTGGAACTCTCTTTTAATCCAGATTTTTCTCTCTCTTATACCAATGTGAATCTGAAGTAAATTCACCAATATCTGCATTGCCAGGGTATTTACTATGTATCTACACTGAAGATTAAAGATCAGATCACTACTCTAGAGCACTCTGGGGTGGCTGGCCTGCTAAATGCAGAAGCCTACAATGCAGACATGATAGTATTTACTAGACCCTTCAGCCCATGGAGGGCATTGTGGGACTCAAACTAGGGAGGGCATTGAGGGCAAATCTGATCAACAACTGGCAAGGAGTCAAACAGCACTCATTGACCCAGACCTGCCTGACAAACCTGAATCAGATTCAGAAAAGGACATGCGGGCAATAAGACAAAGCAGGCGTGTGGAAGCATCTAGAGACCAACATTGGTGTTGCTATAGTTTAACTGCAGAAACAAGGAGAAGTTGTCAACACAGTGTGGACAGTTTCAAAGAGAGTCCGATGAGATCTTAAACCAAATTCATCAGTCTTACCAAGTGCACATCTTAGGACTGGCTTAATGAAAAGGGCACATCCCTCAGATTGCTGCTGACATGCAGGTGCTGCATCAGCTTCAGGTAAAAATAAAAACTGGCAGGCAAGAAAGCTGCTTACCACAAAAGAAGGCAGAATCACAAGCAAAGCCTGTGGTTTGCATACTGAAAGATGGGGGAAAAAGCTTCACCAGCTGCCAATCATAGAAATTACAAGATTGTCTACAAAGGCTGTGGCCCAAAACCACTTTAACTATTATCTGATCAAAGGGAAATTGCAGATGGCTTTCTCAAAGACCTCAGCAATTTCTTAAACCCTTCATTCTTCAGCTCTGCTAGAGTTAAAAACCATTTCTCAGCTCCATGTTCAAAAGCAGGGAGCAGAGATTCTACAGCTGCTGAGCAGCTGCTGCAAGGCAAGGCAAAGTCCCTGCTCACGCCCTACTACTATACATAAATACAGTGTCACCATCTAGCTAGAAAACTGGAGTTCACCACAATTGCCAAATAAAGAGATAGTATTTCAAGGGGTTCAAGAATACAGATGCAGAGTGCCTTTTACAAAGGAAAGGTAAAAACGTTCCTGCAGACGCAGCAAGGTATATTGATTTTCTCAACTGCTGAGAAAAATCTGTGTCAAAATGACATCAATAGATTTGTTGGTGAGGGTGTTGAAAAGGCTTTTGCAGAAGCAGTCTGTCTTTCAGGCTTGTCCTGCTTCAAAGTGAGCAAATGTCTCTAGCTGGCCTTTGCAGAGCTAACTAAAAACCCCATCACTGTCAGCCGTGAGCAGCCCAGAGGCATCTGCATAAATTTGGGTGTCCAAGTAAGTCTGTAAGCATATTTTGGTTATTTCATGATGGTGTGAGGTAATGCAAAAGTTCTCAGTGATGACAAGATGCCAGAATATGTCACTGTCAAAAACAGCCCCAAGCAAGGCTATGTCCTAGCTCAGCTCTTGTTTATTGCCCTTTATGCAGCAGTGCTGCTTGCTGCATCTGGAAGCAGAAGTGAAGGGAGCTGCTTTAATTATTTTGTAGGTGGCAGAATTGCTAACCTGGAGAGATGCCAGGCTAAATCGAAAGTCAGGGAGGTCCTCTCGGCTAATGTTCCCTTTGCTGCTGACAGTGTGCTGGGTGTGCAGAATATTACTGATGGCTTTGGTTGCACTGTCATGGCTCAGCCTTGTCACAAGCATAAAGCAAATAACACTGACTTTTTCCAGAAGTATGCTGAGCCAGTGGTGTGCCTTGGCAATAAAATGC